GAAAAATTATTTTGTACAGCTAAGAGTCTATATTTTTATATAGTAATTGTGCTAGCAGAATAATTTTGATCCAGTGCTCGAAAAAAAATCAAAATCGCCTGTCCGTAAGTTTCATATTTTTAAGTAATTATCGCAAATTTTCAATATCATGTCTGATATTTAAATAACCTAGTGCAGATAATTGCCTTATTAAGCGTTAATAGTATTGGCGATATGTAAAGCTTCTTAAAGAAAAAACATTACAACATTTTATCACATCTATAACTTGTACGGTTGGTGGCAGAAAGCAAGTAACACTTTGTCGAGCACACCATGTCAGTGGTGTCCCCATCAAAAAATTGTTCATAATATTAATATTTTTAAAATTTTATTGTATCTCGTTTTCAGTTATTACACGTACTTTAAAAACCGCACCGACTTGAACTTAAAAATAAAGTCTTTCTTTTTCGAAATTGAGAAATGAAGCAAAATGTCAGTGGTGTCCCATCAAAATTCTGTTTCTTGCATCTTATTATTTTATTTTTAATAAATTTGTGTTAAATTTACTCCTTATATGCAGTTAATGAAGATTTGATACTGGATTGTAATTTATAAGCTGATTTTATTCTCACTATTCAAAAAAAATTATCAGTGAAATCTTTCAAAAATGTCAGTGGTGTCCCTCAATGTTCATATGTCTTTTTAGTCTTCAAAAGTATATTAATTTATGGCAGAACTCATTACAAATATTTTTTAAGTCATGTTGAAACATTCATTATTGTAATTTGAAATATTTTAACTTTTTAAAGTTGTAAGAATTTATTTGAGAAAAGAATAAACGAAAACAGAAAATTTCTTATCATTTCTGCCTATCGTTTTTCACCTGGTGAAAATTAAAATTTGCTTCCACCTGCTCGACCACTATTATTTTTGTCCATCATATATTCTAGTCAACCAAAATAGAGTATCGTTAAGTTCAAAATCCAACATCGAAAAATCAAAGTTAGTACACGGAGAGAAATTTATAGTAGTGGGTAACATAATTGTGGTTAGGGTGACCATCTTTAATGCTACGTATACAGACAGCTATCTAGATAGTCACCGTTACCATCAATATCATCAGGAGTAACATCTTGGTAGTACGGGGTAGCATAACTATATTTTTTTTAGCATCTGTGATGGTTGGCAGTAGCATAATGATAGTATCGTGTAACATCATCTTTTTAACATCAAAATCTGACTATCCATTTCTCTCAGTGTAGGATCAAAAATGACATTTTAAATTTAATCACCCTAATATTCATAATATTTCATACAATTATACTGAATTTGGAACGCATGAACATTCCCCACATTGAACTTGCAACAATTTTTGTGTATCGAAATAAAAAACTTAATATATTTACTTATTAGAACTGCAATAATTCGAGTTTTCTTTTAAACAAATTTTTGTCACAAGAAATTAGTATTTGAAGAAATATTTATTAACTACTTTTTTCATTTGACTGTATTTTAATTTATAAAAATATCCATGTAGGGAAATATGAAAGAATAGAACATTTAGTTGTTCAGAGTTTTTTTTAGTATGTATTTTAAAAAATAAAAATTTTGCTTAAATTAAATTTTAAGTACATAAAAGTTTATTTAAAAGGATTATAACCTAAAAAATTTGTCAATTATCAGAATTTTTATATCGTAGTATTTCTATATTATCGAATTTTTATGTAACGTAAAATATATGTAATTGAGTTATAATCTCACAGAATTTATATTTAACATAATTTTGATGTACAACTATTTACATTTAGTTGAAATTATATTTAAAATAATTTTTATTTTATCAAATTTTTATTTAACCATATCTGTGGTTAACCGAATTTTCGTATGAGTGAATTTCCAAAGTTCCAAATTTATAAAACATAGAATTTTCAAAACGTCGAATTTCTAAAGCATTAAACTTTTAGAATGTCGAATTTTCATTTGTCCTAACTTTTTTGCCACAAGAGTTTCCTCTCTATAATTCTTATTGATATGGTTGATTTAAATTGTGTGGGAAATTTGAAATCATATGTTAAATCTAATTTCGCGCGCAATTTGAATCTACCTTACCGACTAACAACATAGATAGTAAACTCTATAGTGACAGAAAGTTAGGACAGATGAAAATTCGACATTCTAAAAGTTTAATGCTTTAGAAATTCGACGTTTTGAAAATTCTATGTTTTATAAATTTGGTACTTTGGAAATTCACTCATACGAAAATTCGGTTAACCACAGATATGGTTAAATAAAAATTTGATTAAATAAAAATTATTTTAAATATAATTTCAACTAAATGTAAATAGTTGTACATCAAAATTATGTTAAATATAAATTCTGTGAGATTATAACTCAATTACATATATTTTACGTTACATAAAAATTCGATAATATAGAAATACTACGATATAAAAATTCTGATAATTGACAAATTTTTTAGGTTATAATCCTTTTAAATAAACTCTTATGTACTTAAAATTTCATTCAAGCAAAATTTTTATTTTTTAAAATACATACTAAAAAAAACTCTGAACAACTAAATGTTCTATTCTTTCATATTTCCCTACATGGGTATTTTTATAAATTAAAATACAGTCAAATGAAAAAAGTAGTTAATAAATATTTCTTCAAATACTAATTTCTTGTGACAAAAATTTGTTTAAAAGAAAACTCGAATTATTGCAGTTCTAATAAGTAAATATATTAAGTTTTTTATTTCGATACACAAAAATTGTTGCAAGTTCAATGTGGGGAATATTCATGCGTCCCCTGAATTTTACATCAGTTTTTTAAAAATTTAGTATTTTTATATTAAAATTAATAATATATTTCATTTATTTAAAAATAAGAATAATTTAATTCATTTTATTTTTTCAGGTCTACCCTTTTGGCTGAATACACTGAGAGAAATGGATAGTCAGATTTTGATGTTAAAAAGATGATGTTACACGATACTATCATTATGCTACTGCCAACCATCACAGATGCTAAAAAAAATATAGTTATGCTACCCCGTACTACCAAGATGTTAGGCCGCAGTCCCATGGCAGCGTTTTGCGTTGCGTTGTAATGAGAGAGAATGCAGCAAACGTATATTTGCGTCTTTTTTTATCCCATTACGACGCAACGCAAAACGCTGTCATGGGACTCCACCCTTACTCCTGATGATATTGATGGTAACGGTGACTATCTAGATAGCTGTCTGTATACGTAGCATTAAAGATGGTCACCCTAACCACAATTATGTTACCCACTACTATAAATTTCTCTCCGTGTAAATAACAGTGTCATAAAGATTATTTTTTTAAACAGAATTTAATTATTAAAATAATATTTGATGTATTTGTCAACAATTATTATTTACAATTTTTTCAATAAACTATAAATACTTAGTTTTTTGCAGCATTATTCAAAGACGAATAAAAAAATAACTTAATTTTTTGCTAAAGTATCTTGTTTTCTTTCTGAGTGACAAATGCATTGATTAATATTTTAATTTTTAGTCCAAAAAATAATCTTTTAAACAATGTTATTTTTTTAATAACAATGTCAATTAATAAATAACCCTTTTTAAAATTTTCAAATCTCCCACCAAGTAGTGCATGCAATGTAGCCGATAGGGCACGATTAAGAACGATTAAAAAGTCAATCGTCCCCAATTGTAAGAACGCGATTAAGAAACACGATTGAGGACAATAGACAATTCTTTTTAATTGTTTTCAATTGTTTCCAATCGATTTTTTCTAGAAGGGATGACAATGCACACTTGACACTGCGCATTAGGCCTACTGCGCATACTCCCTACAGAATAACACTTCTTAACTCTCAATTGTTCTGAATCGTGTTAAATATACCCCAATTGGCGACAATTGAAAACGATTAGCTCTGAATCGTTCTTAATCGTGTTAAATATCTTACAATTGCCGACAATTGAAAACGATTAGCTCCCAATTGTTCTGAATCGTGTTAAACTGTATCCCAATTAGCGACAATTGTAAACGATTGGAGAGTTGATAACTTTTTATCGTTTTGAATCGTGGTCAATCGATCTTTTCTAGAAGGGTACTTAGTAACTAAATAAATCAAATGAATAAATAGAATTATTGGGGGTAACTTAAGCTGAATTCGGTTTGTATACCCGAAACCGAAATTTCAGCTTAAAAGTTATGCCTAATTATTTTTATTAACTATTATATATATCATGTAAAAATTTTTCTCAAGAATTTAACCCTGTACAATGATAACCTTACCAGCAGGCACGCATAAACTATAAACTAAGTAGAAATTCTTCTTTATTGCAGTAATTTTTCTGTACAAAAAATATATGTATGTGTATATACAATATAATTAGCTTTATGGAGTAAATGGAAAAAATTATTTTTTTTAGTAATAAAAAATTATTATTGAAAAAATGCTAGAAAGCCCCTGTTGTACTAGCAACCCACTCTCCACGGAAGAATTTAAAGTCATTACCGACTATAATTATAATTCAATAATTTCACTTGGTAAAATATCAATTTATTCAAAGCAAAATAAAAACATAAAGTCGATTGTCTCAGTTAAAAATCACCTCTTTATACATCATGCATATTTAACAAGTATTAAGTCATAAAATAATAATAAAAAATTACCCAAGAAATGAGAAATCACCTGTTGTTTTTATTCAAGGCTATTTCAGGTGTTTCTCGTGTGTCTTCGGATACCCGAGAATAGACTCGGTACAACTTCGTACAAAGTCGGTATCTCTTCGGATATATTCGCTTTTCGAAAAGCATGATTAAATGTAGAAGGCTTGTCAATTATAGTCTCAATCATCATTGGTGTGAATAATCTCTTTCATTCTACAAAGCCATGTATTGTACAGTAAAGTATGTTTTCTTTTTATATTACTAATTACTTTCATTTCCGTCAAACTATTTTCTTTCTAAATAATTCCTAACCTCTCTGTTCTAACCTCAAAATTTTTGACATATTTACAAAATATTCAAAATACATGTTCTTCTTTGAAAATTTATTTTTTTAAGTTAATAAACCTTAATTTATATTGATTGTGTATCAACTAATTAATCATAATGTTAACATTAGAATAACAAATATTTATATAGAAAGTGACCTCATTTTCAAGGTTCTGGAGTCGTTTAATATTTTTCAAATGTAACGTCATATTTTTATAGATTTTCTCACTGAAGTTAGGAAAAATTGTAAGAAATAATTATTGTTAAATATAGCATCAAAAGCAACCCACCTGTTCCTCTTAAATTGTGCAATTATCTTATCGAAAAATTATCTTTCAGTCACATAGTTATTATAGCTGGTTATGGGATTACTTGTACTCCTTAACTTAATCTTTGCTATATTAGACCAATAATAAGAATTGTTAATTGGTTTATAGCCAGATCGTGTTTTGTTTTGTTTATTATGATTCACTATAATAATTTATTGAATTTAAAAGTTTAATGACGTTAACAAAGATACTTAGAGTTAAAAATGTTGATAGTGTTTTTTTAATGACCACTTATTATTGTACCTTAATTAACAGTGCATTGTTTTCTAATGTGTGCTTCCATATTAACAGATTGTGATAAATCCAAAGAAATTTCCCATGAAATGTCAACTGACACAGTGCATGAAGGCTATCCTAAAAATGTGGCTGAAGATTCAGCCTTGTCACACGATTCTGAGTATGATGATTTTCTTGGTGTACCTGAATCCTTAGAAATAACAATTAACGAGGACGGCGAAACTATTAGTATTCGAAACAGTAACGTGGAACTTACTGACAACAAAGGTAAAATGATTATCAATCAATCTTTTAATAATATCAGGGCTCGAACCAGTAAAAGTATTTAACAACACGGACTTTAAGGACCAATAATGAAAAATTATAAACAGTCCGAATCAAATAAGAGAACATTTAACATCAAATTATAAATTAAATTTTTCGTAACTATAAAACATGAAGATATCGATAACTTCATGTGATGGATATCTTCCTGTTTTATAATAATTAAAGATGACCGAGTGATAAAATCATTATCAATTCAATTAATATTTTCAACAATTTCTAACTAAAATTCTTCTTAAAATCGATAAATTTTAATAATTTTCGAAAAAGTTCTTTGACAATTTTCAAATTCATTTGTTTACAATACTCAATTTTACGAAATTTCAATTATTCGTAAATTCTTCAATTAAATATAATATAAAAAAAAATTAATTCCACAGAATTGTTTGTTAAAAATATGAAAAATTCAAATTTTCAAAGATTTTAATCTGAAACCTTTTCAAAATTAAATTATTTCTAAAAATTTATGTTCTTATGCTTTTAATATTCAATTAAAATCTAAAATTTTAACTGAAAGCCATTTTTAAATCAATTTTTATGAGAAAATTCCACTAGAATTCAATTATTTAAATACAAAAAAAATTTATTGAATAATTGCATGTTTCTTAAAATTGAATTCTTTTGACGAATTTTAATAAAATTTTTAAGAATAATTTATTACATTTTTTCGAGGAGTTCGATTAAAATTGTATTAAAATTAATTGAAATTCTGCAATGAGTTTTATTATTTATCAAAATAATTTAATTCCTAATAAGAATTTTATTATTTACCAAATTAATTGAATCCCTGTAAAATTTTTATTATTTATGAAAATAATTGAACGATTGCGAAGAAATTTATAAAAAAAATTGTAAATAATGAAACTCCTGTGAAATTTTAATTATTTAATGAAAATAATTAAATGTTTGTGTAGAATTATATTAAATTGTTTTTTAAATACTTGAATTCTTTTGGAAAATTTTATTAGAATAGTAGATACCTATTAAAAATCATTGAATTGAGGAAAATTTTTGAAAATGATTGTAATTTTGACAAGAATTTTATTAAAATTTTTGAAAATAATTGAATTTTGGAGAAGAATTGAATTATTTCTAAAGATAATTGAAATTTTGACGAGAATTTTTAAAAAATTTTTAAAATAATTGAATTTTTGCGAAGAATTTTATTATTTTTGAAAATAATTGAATTTTTACAATCATTTGTAATTTCTCTAAAATTATCCAAATTATATCGTAGAATTCACGGACTTTACGGACCTTTTTTCAAAAAAACGGACTTTACGGACTTCAAGCTAAGTTACAGACTTTTACGGGATTTACGGACCTAGTTCGAGCCCTGTAATATTAATCTAACGAATTTGAAAATTATTTGCAGATCACTCTGGCGTTTTGCCTTTCACGATAATTCACGATCCGCCAATCAAGTTTAGGAGTCAAAATCGAAATGTGTTCATTCCAGGAGTGCAAATACAAGTAAAAGTCATAGATATTGAACGTTGTGTGACAACTCATCCTTTAAATCCAAATTTGTATACAATACAGTTTAAACATGGAACATTCGAGTGGACTGTAAAAAAACGATATAAACACATACAGTTCTTGCACAATCAACTCAAGATATTTAGAGCGAGTCTGAATATACCGTTTCCAACAAAAAGTCATAGAGAGAGAAGAAACAGTTTTAAAAATTTATCAACAGACAGAGCCCAACGACAAAGAAAAGTGGCATTGCCAAGGTTTCCTAATAAGCCAGATGTTTTAGTACCTTATGAACATATAAATCATAGAATGAAAGCCTTGGAAGAATACTTAGACAATTTGCTGACAATTGAAATTTACAAGCGACATCCAGAAACTGTAATTATTTATACAAATTTAAAACTAACATTTAATGTAAAATGTTTTATAATTTTAGACACAAAAATTTTTAAAATCAACGTCTTTAAAAATATAAATACTCATATTAGCAAATTAATTTTCAAATTAATTGCTACCTAATATTTTCGATAATTTTACATAACAATCAAATTTTAATAATAAATTTAAACTCTTCTGAATAAGTACCAATCAAAAAATTTATATATTTTAATTATTTATGTACTGTTTCATTAAATTCTAAGAACATTAAAAATTATTTCTACGAAGATTAGAATTTGTATAGAGAAAATAAAGTACAATTGCTATGAGTAAAATATAATGCACTAAGCATTATATAAATTTAATTTAGAAAATCATATTAAAATAATTTAAATATTGAATTAAATATTAAACACAACATTTATGGTTAGCTTAGCTTTTTGGAACTGTCTCATCTTTCATTCGTTGGAGACCTTGGCGGAAAAGGCAAAGAAGGTTTAGTTCAAAAACGGACTGGATCTGGAGCTAAAACTGGATGTAATCTTTTGGGTTTACTCGAAGGTATCTATGCAAATTAAAAGTTCTTCCTTTTTTCACAAATCTTCTGTTACTTCAGTTGAGAATATTTTTAAGAAAATTGATTAATATCTTCCCTAAAAACACTATTTTTATTTTATTATTATTTATATTTATATGTTTATATATATTTTATTATTTATACACATATATTAGTAAAATTTATTTGAAAATAATTGATTTTTCTCATGTATTTTATTACAATTTTTGAAAATTATCTTTTGAGGAAATTTAATTGAAAATTTTGAAAATAATTATTGAATTCCCAAAATTTAAAAAAAAAATCTTCAAATGTAAATTTAATGATAAAAATTAGCTTCTTAAAATTGAAGGGCTGAATGCTATAACGTGTTACGCACCATGTTGAGTAAATAGCGCGTAACACCTTTTATCATCCAGGCCCTCAATTTATATAAAAATATTTTTGAAGCAATTAATTTTTAGAACTTTTTCATTATAATTTTTTAAAATTCAATTATTTTTAATATTTTCAATTAAATATTTACGAAAATTCAAATATATAAGAATAACTAATAACATTAATGTTCTTTAAAACTATTTCTAACATTTTTAAGAAAACAATCATGTTCAAAGTTTTTAATTAAAATTCTTCAAAAAAATTAATTAGTTTTTTTAAATTATACAAAAATTCTTTTAAAAAATTTTTAATTATTTTCAAAAAATTACATTATAATATACCTATTTGAAACATTAATTTTTAGAATTGTTTTATCATAATTTTTTACGAATCAAATATCTTATTGACTTACGTATTAAAATTTCAGAGAAATCATGTTATTTTATAATTAAAATTCTTGAAAAATTTGATAATTTTCTATTATATTTTTCAAAAATTCAATGACTTTGGGGCTATTCAAGTATTACGTAAGCATATTTTTCAGGTTTTTAGACCCCCCCCTCCCCCATGTAAGATTTTTTATATGCATTAGCGCCATTTTTCTAATAGAAATAAGCAATAGCTAGACCCCCCCTCCCCCTTAAATGCTTTTGTAATACTTGAATGGTCCCTTTTAAAACATTTTATCAAATTTCAATTGTCAGGAAATTTTTCAATTATGTATAATAAAAAAACCTTAATATTTTTCAAAAATTATTTATAAACTAGCAACAATTCGCGCGGCTAACTTCTTGCTTACTTTTTTTAAAAAAAAGTACGCGGAGAGAAATCTGTTGCGAATAATGCATAAAGTAGAGGTTATGAATATATAGCATAAGCACTTACTAGCGAAAAGTATAAGAGGTCCGCCTGAATATCAGTCGACTCCGCCTAATATTCAGGCGGACTCGAGCAATAAATACCCAATCAGCACATAAGCTTGCCACAAACTTGCATTAAGCTTGCTGTGCAAGGTGTGCAAGCTTACAGAGCAAGCTCGTGACAAGTTTGTGGCAAGTAACAAAATGTCCTATTGCTGCAAGCTTGCACTGCAATCTTGCTACAAGATTATGATATATGCTTGCTGCAAGCTTGTGGGGCAAGTTTTCGACAAGCTTATTTGGCAAACTTGCTACAAGTTTGTAGTGTAAGTTTGCCAAATAAGCTTGTCGAAAACTTGCCCCACAAGCTTGCAGCAAGCATATATCATAATCTTGTAGCAAGATTGCAGTGCAAGCTTGCAGCAATAGGACATTTTGTTACTTGTCACGAGCTTGCTCTGTAAGCTTGCACACCTTGCACAGCAAGCTTAATGCAAGTTTGTGGCAAGCTTATGTGCTGATTAGGTAGGCTCTCTGTTAGGATTTTAGCATCAAAGAATCTATGGAAAAAGTATATGAAAAGTTTCGAGCATTAATACTAACAGATTTCTCTCCGTGTAGCATTTTTAAAAATAATAGAATTTAAAAATTTATATTTCAAATTTTTATTGAAAACAATAAAAAAATTTTCAATTTTGGAGAAATTACAAATAATTGCAGAAATTCAATTACTTTCAAAAGTAATAAAATTCTTCTCATAAAATTAAATTATATTCAAAATTTAAAAAAAATTCTCGTCAAAATTCCAATTATGTATATAAATTACAAAATTCTTCCCTAAAGTTCAATTCTTTTCAAAAATGTCAATAAAAATCTTGTCCTAATTTCAATTATTTTCAAAAAATTTTTTCATTTTAATGATTTTCAATATCTACAATTTTAATAAAATTTTCCAAAAAGAATTTAATTATTTAAAAAAAATTTTAATAAAATTGTACGCAAACATTTAATAATATTCATAAATAATTAAAATTTCACAGGAATTCAATTATTTATTATAGAAAATTTTTTTATAAATTTCTTTTCAAAAATTCAATTATTATCATAAAAAATAATTAAAAATTCTAGAAAATAATAATTAAATTAAATTGAAATGAAGAAAATAATTTTGAAGGAATTACAGTAACAATATTTTTATAATATAAAATAATGATTTTATCACTCGGTCAAGTATAATTTATTATTATAAAACATGAAGAAAGTGATCATTCCGAGTCTTCGACTCAGAGCAATTAAATCGATATCTTCATGTTTTATAACAAATATACTTTTATAAGTTGTTTTATTTCAAAAAGGTTTTAATTTGAAATTTTTGAATGTCTCAATTCCTGAGGAAAAATAAGAACAATTAAATATTTATTTAAAAAAGAATTTATTTATGTTTTCGAATAATTTTATAATTAAAGAAATTCGTAAATAAAAACGAAATTTGTCATAAAAAAATCATATAAAAACAAAATTTATTTTTAATTTTTTAATTTCAAATACTTTATTATGAATCATGAAACACTACATATTTTCGATTTGTAAAACAATATTTAAAAAAAAACACACAAAAACTAACTTCAGATTGTGAGGGACAGAAAAATGAAAAATTTGTCAAAAATTAATTTTAAGAATTTTTATTACAATTTGTTGAGAATATTTTGTCTTAGTAACTTTTTCAAAAAATCATCAGTTACAATTATTATAAAAAATTGAATTTTTGTATTTGAAAATTTGTAAAAATAATTTATTTAAAGATGAAGTTTAGTTAACTTTATTTCCCGTGAAAAACATAAGTATTTAAATTTTAAATATTTATTTTACAAAATTATTCGATTTTTAAAGAATTGAATTTAGAAATCAGTGAAAGTCAGAGAAATACAAAATAAAATTTTTGTTACAACACTAAATTAAATAAACGACTTTTTCGACTTTTTTTGCGCCTTAAAATCGATCCGAGGCCTAGAAATATTAATTACATTGTAATAATTTCAGGGACGTGTTGCGTAAGACTCAGTCAATTTTGCACCTCACTTTGTGGAAAATGGCATAAAAGGCATTTAATCGTGAAGGATACTTTCGTGACATATATAAGACCTGGAGATGGAAGAATAAAAGCCGTGATTTTAATGGACAATGGTTTTGAAGTTAGTTCAGGAATGTACTCAACGGGTTTGAGGAATGGATTACAAATTATGAATCTCAATAGGCATATTGTTATGAAATGTTGGACTAGAAGAAAAGCAAAAGAATGGTTGGATTACATCCAACGCCTTTCTGTCGAGGAAGGTTAATATCCAATGCATAAAATTAAATTTATAAAACTAGAAACTGAACTTCTGTTTCGTTTGAACCTTAAAAATATACTTTTCTCTAAAAATCGAAAATGAGTTAAAGCAATAATATTACGTATAAATTAATGAATTTCAGGTAAGTCTTTTATTCAAACAAATCCTCACAAGTCCTTCGCTCCAGTTCGATGTTCAGTACCTGCAACGTGGTTCGTTGATGGATCAAGTTATATGTCGGCAGTTGCAGACGCTCTAGAAGCAGCGACTGAAGAAATTTTTATAGCAGATTGGTGGCTTTCTCCTGAAATTTATCTTAAGAGACCTGCTAATGAAGGGGATTACTGGAGACTCGATAAAATTTTGGAAAGGAAAGCTGTAAGTCATTAAATTTATATGTATTTTCAATGAAAATAAGTTTGTTAATTCCACAAATTAATTGTTTTATTCTAATGTAATTAAAGCTGCAAGGTTTTAAACTTAAGGTAAGGTAAGATCTTAAGGTCTGGGTAAGATTTACTTGATAATTTAAAAAATGGGTCTTAAAATTTTCCTTCAAATTCTAATTTACTAATCGGATTCTTAAAAAATGTTGTACCATTTTGAAGGATAATCTTACGTTCCTAAATTGATAATAATCAGGGCTCGAACTAGGTCCGTAAATCCCGTAAAAGTCCGTAAATTGTACGATATAATTTTGATGATTTTAGAGAAATTACAAATGATTGTAGGAATTTAATTATTTTATTATTATTCAATTATTTTCAAAATTTTTTTTAAATTCTCGTCAAAATTTCAATTATTTTCCAAATTTTTTTCAATTCAATGGTTTTTAATAGGTACAGTTGAATCTCGGTTATCCGAGCCTCGATTATCCGAGATTCCGGATTATCCGAGGCACTAAACATGCTCGGATAATGCGGAATAACTCGGATAAAACGGATCGAGCGACTAAATTTGAAAAAAAATTTTTACAAAACCACTATTTGCGATCATTGCATTTAAAATTTCGTCCATTTTTGTCGTTTAATATTATTCTAACACTTTAAACACATGAAGAATAATTTAAAATTTTGAAATTTTCATTTGTTCCGTGTTTTCCGAGTTTTCGATTATCCGAGGCACCTCTTCCCCACATTACCTCGGATAATCGAGACTCTACTGTATCTACTATTCTAATAAAATTTTCCAAAAGAATTCAATTATTTAAAAAAAAATTTTATAAATTTCTGCACAAAGCTTTAATTATTTTTACAAAATAATAAAAATTTCTCAGAAAATCAATAACTTACAAATTTTATATAAATTTCTTAGCCATAATTCAATTATTTTCATAAATAATAAAATTTATGGCAGAATTATGATTATTTTTAATACAATTTTATTCAAATTCCTCAAAAAATGTAATTATTCATAAATATTTTATTAACATTCATCAAAAGAATTCAATTATTTAAAAATTTGTTGATAAAATTCTTTACGACAATTTATTTTTAAGAATTAATCAATTATTCAATAAATTATTTATTTTTGTATTTAAATAATTGAATTCTCGTAAAATTTCCTAATCAAAACTGATTTGAAAATTATTTTTTACTCTCTTCATATGAGAAGGTATTAGTTTTATGCAAATTTTGACTTTTGCTAATTTTATTAAATCTTCACGTTTTGGGGTCCCCTGAACCCAAAAAACATGGTTTGGTGATGGTGTCTGTCTGTATGTCTGTCTGTAGACACAAAATGTTGTTCCCATGATAACTTTTGAAAAACTTATCGGATCGTTTTTAAATTTAACTCTCTTAAAGTTAGTGTAAAAATGAAGGCTAAGTTCGTTAACCAGCCATTTTCGTTGAAAAATACAAAAACTACAGTAGTTTCAAAATTTTGAAAACTCAATTTTTTCAAATTTTTAACTTTATATTATATTAGGTTAGGAAAATACAAACAACTTTTCTCTACAACATTTTTTAATAGAAACTTTTTTTTTTTTTTTTTTTTTTTTTTTTTTTTTTTTTTTTTTTTTATTTATTAAGTTTTTGGGTCAGGCTAGCTTAACAGAGTTAAAAAATTTTTTTTGATTTTCTAAAATGTTATAACTAAAATATATTCATAAAAGTTTTAACATTTTAGAAAATCAATGAAATTTGTTTAACACAGTTGGTCTTGTCTGACCCTTTTTTACATTTTAATTTTTGGTCCTATCTTGTTGAAAATGGTTTTTTACATTCTTATCACATTAGAAGGTATAAAATAATATATTATAATATTCTATAAAATTTAAATATTTTTTTACAAAAATAAATTTCGTCTTTTCTGAAGGACGGTTGCCGTACTGCCAACAACACGCCGTAATGTGCAGAGGCGCGTCCTGCCGGAAGGCCCTTCCAAAAGTTTAGGCTCTTGGACGTTCTTTTAAAAAAATCATGCAGAATATTTATCTAATTGTTCATTTTTAAATCTTCAGTAAATTTAAAGTTTGTCTTATAAGAATTAAACTATCACATCCACTGTATCTGGATTTACATGTTTTTAATCATACATTTGATATCATATTTACAAATCACGTATATAGGGGGAACGGGACATAATGGCTAAGGGGCGTAATGAATAATTATAATATTTAATGAAAATAATAATTAAACCAAACAAATTTTTTTCTGTTAATTACTGTAAAAACTTCTTTAACGATTAATAATTATATTTTATATTATTGTATGTTATTATGTTTTTAATTATTTTGAATAATATGATTTGATATATTATATATTATTATAATAATCAATAATAAATTATAATAATTCATAATAAACAATCCTAAAAATTTTGAATATAAAATCTGTAAATAAATATTAAAATATAATTCTACAATTTTTATAAATTTATAATGTGCGTATTAAAAGTATTATTTACAATTAAATTATAATGAAATAAGCTAGAGAGTGATTATATTTTTTGATAAAACAAAATATTCATTTAAAGTTGGTATTTAATTGTTACAAATTATTTTAAATTTCTTACCAGATTTTCAAACTCCTCCATCGTAAAGGTGCGCGATACCAATGAAAATAAAAATAGTCACTTTCTCATTGAAAAGTAATGATACCTGTACAAACTGTTTTATTTTTTATAATTTTGTTATTTAATAATTGATTTGAAATCGCTAAGAAAAAAATAAAAAAAAATAAATAAAAATAATAAATAAAGAAAAATAAAAAATAAATAAAAAAAATAAATAAAAATAAAAAATACGTAAACAAAGTCAGTCAAAATTATTTCACGTGACGTTTACCGTCTGAGAGTTTGCGCATCTTTTCTGGGCATCATTTTCCGCGACTCGTCGACGAAAATTTCTATCAAAGTGTTACAATAATTCTACGACTATTTTCCGCTACTAGGTTTATAAAAAGTCCTCAACTTTTTTCAGAGAATTTCTGCTAAAAGCGAAGAGTATTTCAAAAAGTCCGTAAAGTTTTTTTTCATATCCGAGAGTCTTACTTTTTTTTCTACAATGAACAGACACTTCGTCGGTATCGTACACGTAGAAAATAAGAATGACAAAAATTTTTCGTATTTTTTTCCTGAAAGCTAATGAAATTATGAAAAGACGGACACCTGATCGAAGAATTTTTGTTGACTATTCTGTCAGATACAGAAAAAATACTGGATTTTGCATGCTTTTCGTAATATTTTAATTTCTCGAAAACTAATTAACTTTTTTTAGCGTTCTTGGTCTTGTTTTAATCTCTATTCAATGTAGAATCTAAATTAATTAATGGTATTGTGATATAAATTTTTCCAAAAAAATTTGAAACTGTGAAAGTCGGATAAAAAAATTTTGAAAAACAGATTGACACTTTTTCAACAAAAAAAAAATTTTTTTAAATTAAATAATTAAGTAATTAAAAAGCTTTTTTGAATTTTAGTATATCTATTAAATGAACATATTTTACATTGACCTTTTTGACACTTTAATATTCATGATAATTTTTTGAATTTTTTTAATCCGACTTTCCCAGTTTCAAATTTTTTTGGAAAAATTTATATCACAATACCATTAATTAATTTAGATTCTACATTGAATAGAGATTAAAACAAGACCAAGAACGCTAAAAAAAGTTAATTAGTTTTTGAGAAATTAAAAAATTACGAAAAGCATGCAAAATCCAGTATTTTTTCTATATCTGACAGAATAGTCAACTAATATTCTTCGATCAGGTGTCAGTCTTTTCATAATTTAATTAGCTTTCAGGAAAAAAATACAAAAATTTTTGTCATTCTTATTTTTTACGTTTTAAGCATTTTTTCACTCATGAAAAAAGGGGCGTCCTAATACTCACGGACGGTAGTGTAGGTTGCTCTTTATGCATATAGCGTGTTGCATTAGCCAACACGCCCTAGGGGTACTTGGGAAATATTTTGTAATTTTTATCAATACAGTAAGTGTGAATCAAAAATCTCAAATTGACCCTCAAAAAAAGTTTCAAGCTTAAAACGCGATTTTAGTTTCTTTTTTAAAGATATTTTAAAAAAATTAGAACGAACAAATGAAAATTTTGAAAAGTTACTTTCATATGTGAAATACAGTTTTTCTACTATATTTCTTACAATAGTGATTGAATAATAAATAATCAAACTTTGTAGAAACTTGCAGTACATCAAGTTGTTTTTTGAGCGAAATCATTTCGATTTACGATTTTTAAATAAATTACAATTCTTTTATACATGTGATAAATTAAAAATAATAAAATGGAAATAAGTGTAAAATAGTCCTTAACGCATACTCAAATACTCTTTAAAATTCTAGAATATGTTGAGCAGAAATATTTGAGATTTATAATTTTCAAAATATTGCACTTTTTCTCGCAAGCGGTAAAGAAATGTTTCATTTAATACATAAGGACGATGAAAAAGTAGATTTGTAGCGTGCGAAACTGCGAAAGCGTAGGGTAATATGCGTGTTAGTGTTAGTTATTTAGTTTGACGTAGGAAATTAGTGTTTAAATAGTGTTCGATTACATGTGATAAGTGTCGTGATTATGTATAAATGTACGAGTGTAATTAAATATAAGGCATAATAAGAATAAAATAAATAAGAACTGAAAGAACTTTTTTTTTATTGGTCGGCCGAATTTTTCATTTTCCGCGACTATCATTGAAAGTTTAGAATACTATAGAACAAGATTTCCGCGACTGTCGCCAAATCGTTCGCGAGCCGGCTGTGTTTTCATTTTCCGCGACTGACTCTGAAAGTTTCGAATCCTTTTTGTAAATTCTCTTCGAATGTAGTTTATTTTTCCTGCAACCTGTTAATATGATTTTTAAAACTCAGTGATTTTAAAAATTTAAATACTTTCCACTAAATCCGAGAGTCTTTTACAAAGTCGCGGAAAATTTCAGCAACTAATTTTTTCCGTGTAACATTTTTAGAGAATTAAGTAATTTATTTTAAAAAGTTCTCATCAAAATTTCAAATAATAAAATTCTTCGCAAAAATTCAATTGTTTTCAAAAATTTAAATAAAATTCTTGTCAAAATTTCAATTATCTTTAGAAATAATTCAATTCTTCTCGGAAATTCAATTATTTTCAAAAATTTTAATAAAATTCTTGGCAAATTTTCCTCAATTCAATGATTCTTAATAGGCATCTACTATTCTAATAAAATTTTTCAAAAGAATTCAATTATTTAAAAAACAATTGAATAAAATTCCACACAAACATTTAATTATTTTCAACAAATAATAAAAAATTTCACAGGAATTTCAATATTTACTATTTTTTTTATAAATTTCTTTGCAATCATTCAATTATTTTCATAAATAATAAAATTCTTATTATGAGTTCAATTATTTTGATAAATAATAAAACTCGCATTGCAGAATTTCAATTATTTTTAATACAATTTTAATCGAATTCCTCGAAAAAATGTAATTATTCTTAAAAATTTTATTGAAATTCGTCAATAGAATTCAATTATTTAAAAATTTATTACTAAAATTTTTATGAGAATTTAATTTTAAGAAACATGCAATTATTAGAATATTAGAATATTTTCACCCAATTTTGAACTTAGAATATTTTCGTCCAACTTCGGACTTAGAATATTTTCGTTCAACTTTGGACTTAGAATATTTTCGTCCGAGCTCCGATACTTAAACTTTTTTCCATCGATTTGTACTTTGAAAAATAAATTGTCTTTGAAATTTTACATGCTTTTGACTCGATTAAATTCATTTATTTGCATGCACAACACCCCCCCCCCCCCCCCCGCCGTCTTTAAACATAGCACAGTATTGAGTCGGGTATCCTCTCAATATTAGAGTACCCCGAGCTGGTTGCCTCTCGGAACTCTAATTATCGGAAAGTATCGAGCTGGTTGCCTCTCGATATCTTTTAACGTTGAGTTGGATATCCACCCAATATTATATTACACCGAGCTGGTTGCCTCTCGGCACACTAATTATCGGAAAGTATCGAGCTGGTTGCCTCTCGATATCTTTCAACATTGAGTTGGATATCCTCTCAATATTAGAGTACTCCGAGCTGGTTGCCTCTCGGAACTCTAATTATCGGAAAGTATCGAGCTGGTTGCCTCTCGATATCTTTCAACATTGAGTTGGATATCCTCTCAATATTAGAGTACTCCGAGCTGGTTGCCTCTCGGAACTCTAATTATCGGAAAGTATCGAGCTGGTTGCCTCTCGATATCTTTTAACGTTGAGTTAGATATCCTCTCAATATTAGAGTACACACACACAAACATACAACGTGAATACCGAACTGCGCCGTTATGGTTATTCAATTCGAGCCTTTTATTTTTTATTTAATTTGTGTTAATTCAAATTTTATTTAAAAATTTAAACTGGCCTTTGATCCAGTTACTCCCCTCTCTACAGTGACCGGTATCAATTATTTGAAGTTTTTGTTTTCTAATATATGGGTGATTCTTCATTCAGTGGTCACTTTTGCTTCCCCACTGTTCCCTATTTAATAACTTGAAAAATTGTTATCTAATCTACTTCAAACTTTTGCATAATTAATCTTCAATATGTTTTTTAGTAATATCATAATCGAAAAAAATTTTTAATTTAAAACAAAAGTTGTAATTCAATTGCAAATGTTCAAAAAATGCACATTTGTCGTTTCTCCACACATGAATCATGAAGTTTAATATGTTTTATTTTGCACAAACTTTATTTTAAACGTTTTTTTATTTATTCTATTCGAAAGTTCATCTCAAAAACTAAGTTTTTGTGTGTCGTTTTCTAATTTCCATTAACAAATCTGTGTAAAAATATTTTTTCAATATTTTCCCCACTCTTTTTTTATTTGGAACTGGAGTTTACAATTTCATTGATTTTCATTAATTTTGTTCCCTTTTTCAGTGCGATTTTATTTGCCATTAATATTATTAAGTTAATAAGTTGTATTTATGTTAAATTTGCAAAAAGAAATATAATTTTTAGATTTAAAACTACAAAAGTTACTATTATTTTATAGCGTATTTTAATGGTATGTAAACTCCAGTTCCGCCAAAATTACCGAATTCTAAATGTATAAAAAAAAATAAAAATAATAGTGATTTAGAGTAAGCAAATCTCTTTAATAATCTGCAAAAATTATTTATTTTTATGAATTTTTACGGTTTTAATTAATTTTTTTCTTTGATTTTTAAACTCCAGTTCCTAATTTCGTTTCGCGTAATGGAAGTGTTTTGTTTTTTTGAATGAATATTATTAACCTCGATTAACCTGTATCAAAACATGTAATTCCAATAACAGGTATGAGTAAAAATATTATTTATTTATTAATTAAAGCAGTTTAAAGTAACTATTTGCTTATTTACACTATTTATAATTATTAACAGTCGAAAATTAACTTTTTCAAATAAATTATTTAACCTTTAAATTACAAATTTTTAAATTGTTTGTATATAAAACTAAAGAAAGAATTAAGCTCAAATATCTATAAAATAATCATTCTCAAGCTTTATTAAAAAGATCTAAATAAAAAATTTTAACATATTCAAAAGTTACCACTTTGTGGAGAATCACCCATACATTTAATTGAAGAATTTACGAATAATTGAATATTGTAAAGAAATGAATTTGAAAATTGTCAAAGAACTTTTTCGAAAATTATTAAAAATAATCGATTTTAAGAAGAATTTTAGTTAAAAATTGTTGAAAATAATAATTGAATTCATAATGATTTTATCACTCGGTCATCTTTAATTATTATAAAACATAAAGAAATCGGTCACTCACAGAGTTATCGATATCTTTATGTTTTATAGTTATGAAAATTTTAATTTCTATTTTTAAGTAAAATGTTCTCTTATTTGATTCGGACTGTTTATATTTTTGTCAGTTGGTCCGTAATTTTTCATTTTTGGTCCTTAAAGTCCGTATTGTTAAATACTTTCACTGGTTCGATCCCTGTAATAATTGAAAATTAATTTTAAGGCTAAAAATATAAATTTGTTGCAGATTGCCGGTGTAAAAGTGTTTGTGATGATTTACAAAGAAGTAGAGTTGGCTTTAGGAATAAATAGTTTTTATAGCAAACAAAAACTAGTCGAAAAATGTCCGCAAAATATAAAAGTATTGAGATATCCCGATCATGCTCGAGTTGGCGTTTTCCTTTGGGCTCATCATGAGAAAATTGTGGTTGTCGATCAGTCGGTTGCCTTTCTAGGTGGAATTGATCTCTGTTATGGTAGATGGGACAATTCTGAGCATCGACTGACAGATCTTGGTAATAAACAAAGAATCAACCTTAATTTTATATTCAAATAAAAGTTTAGTAATCATTACATTATATTTCACCAAAGAGTCACTATTGTTTTTAAAATATTTTTAAACGATTCCAAAATTAAATTTTTAAACTATTAATTACATTTTTTTAAATAAAAATCTTGTCTTAAAATTAGGATCAACTCATCAGTCAACGATTTATATACCTTCAAAAGGAAAAGTGACCAGTACCAGTAGTAAACCGATCACAGTATACAAATCGAAAGAACATGTGTTACTACCTCTAGCAATTGCTACGAATACAATTGCTATGGCAACGACTAAATGCCTTTCAGTTTTGTAAGTGAAACTATTTCTTACTTTCTCAAGAATTCTTGACATTCGAATATCTAATTCATAAATCACTTTTAGGCCAGTAGTGAGTAAAGAAAAACAAAGTCCAGAGCCACTAAGTCAAATAAAAACATTAGATCCATTACTACTATCACTTCCCGACGAGAGTTTCAAATGTAATACACCTGATCCACAAAAAAAGAATCTGTTCGAAGTGGCAAGAACAAAAGTTGACAGAGTTAAATATAATATGAGAATGAAGAGAAAAGAATGGATCAATATGGTTTATAGTCCTCATGAATGTAGTAGCGACGAAGAACAAGACACAGTCGATAAGTAAAATAATTTATATTGTTTCAGCTTATTAAAAGATAAAAAGATGTTTCTAAAAATGTTAATGTTTAATTTTTAGATTTTCCTTAATTTGAATATTTCTGTTTTAGTGTCGTGATAAAACTTCCTATAGACGACGAAGAGGAATTGTTTTACGAAAGTCGAGATATTTATCCAGAACTGAATGGAATGTCAAAACTTTGGCTTGGAAAGGATTATACTAATTTTATTGTCAAGGATTTTAATAATCTGGATAGCCCTTACCAAGATTTAGTGGACAGAAGTACAACACCTCGAATGCCTTGGCACGATGTGGGAATAATGGTCCAGCAAGCGACAGCTAGAGATGTAGCTAGACATTTTATTCAAAGATGGAATGCTATAAAGGTGAGATTCACTTAGTTACAATTTACAGAACATTAAACTTTCAAATTTTATCCAAAAATTAGGTTGAATAACATATAAGTGTTTACATTAATTTCGTTCATTGAACAGGGTTGCCTCAGGCCAGGGAAATCAGGGAAAAGTCAGGGATTTTTATTTAAAGTACTGGGAAAAATTAAATAGGTATTTAGAATTTATAAGAAAATTCTGAATTTTTGTGTCTTTTTGATTGTCTCATAAACTACGAAATTACCACGAATTCTAAAAAAGCCTTAAATTTTTTCTATTTCTGACAATAATTTATTATAAATAACTTAATTTTATTGAAGAACTGACATAAAGTTATTACTTACCAATAAATCATTTAATAAAGTATTTTTTTAAAAAACTTTAATTTCAATTCTGTTGAATTTAAGTATCTTAATAAATATTAAAATTCTTTACAGAAGTTCAATTATTTTCAAAAATTTTTTTTTAAATTCTCGTCAACATTTTAATTATCTTTATAAATAGCAAAGTTCTTCGCCGAAATTTAATTATATTCAGGAATTTTTATAAAATTCATTGTATAATTCAATTATTTTCATAAATAACAATATTCATCACAAGAATTCAATTGTTTTCAAAATTAATCAAATTCATCGCAGAAATTCAATTATTTTCAAAGAATAAAAAAAAATTCTCGTCAACATTTCTTGAATCTTTATAATTGAATAGCAAAATTCTTCGACAAAATTCAATATTGTTTTCAGGAATTTTAATAAAATTCATTGCAAAATTCAATTGTTTTCATAAATAATAGTATTCGTCACAAGAATTCAATTATTTTTTATAGAAATAAAATTTCAATGATTATCAAAAATTTTAATAAAATTCATGGTAAAATTTCAATTATTTTCAAAAATTTTAATAAAATTCATGAGAAAATTTCAATTATTTTCAAACATTTTTCTTAATTCAATGAATTTTAAGAAACATTTAATTATTTAATAAATTATATATGTTTGTTTTTAATTAATTGAATTCTCGTAGAATTTTCTAATAAAAATTGATTTATAAATGAATTTCAGTTAAAGTTTTAGATAATAATTGCAATTTTTAGAAATAATTGAATTTTGTAAAAGTTTCAAATTAAAATCTTTGAAAATTTAAATTTTTCATACTTTTAATAAAAAATTCTATGGAACTAATTTTTTCAAAAAGCTTAATCGCAATTTTTTAAAGAATTATTTCAAGTTTTTATTTTCTAATATTTATATTGAATTGAAGAATTTCCGAATAATCGAAATTTCGTAAAACTAAATTGTAAACAAATGAATTTGAAAATTGGACTTTATCATAAATTATTAAAAATAATTGATTTAAAGAAGAATTTTATTTACAAATTTTAGAAAATAATAATTGAATTGAAACGATGAAAATAATTTTTAAAAAGTTACAGTAACAATATTTTAATATTATAATATAAAATAATAATTTTATCACTCGGTCACCTTCAATTGTTATAAAACATGAAGAAAAGGATCCTTTCTTCATGTTTTATAATAATATTCTTTCAAGTTATTGAATTTCAATAGGTTTGAATTTGAAATTTTTTAAATCTTTTTTCCTGTGAAAAAATAATAATGATTAAAAAAGAAGTTAAGTTATTGATATTTTCGAATAATTTTACAATTAAAAAATTCGTAAATAAGTGCGATAGAACAATTTTTTGAGTATCTAATCATTTTTAAAGTGAATCAGAATATTCTTTAGGGTCAAGGAAAAAGTCAAAATTTTGTCTGAAAATCAGGGAAAAGTCAGGGAAAAACAAAATTTTTTTGTGGCAACCATGTTGAATGATTCTAGATATTTTCACGTATTTCAGTTTTTCTAATTTAAAAATAAAATTCTCTTAATGAAGAAGATTTAGAAAAATGTATTTAAATTTTTAAATAGCACACAAAAATGTAATCATCTTTTGAAATTTTTTACCTAAACAATTTTTGTATTTTGTGGTGAATTTTCTTATTAAAATTACTTTTGGCGAAAATAATTATGTACATAGTACTTACACAATTTAAAAAACATTTTAAACCAGTGTAATTGCCGAAATGAGATTGAGAGAATTAAATAGCTTGACATTACAGATTGAAAAGGCGAAACTGAACCCAACCTATCCATTTCTTCTACCAAAAGCATATAAAAATTACGCAGGATACTCGATTAATTTCGATGAAAGTAAAATGCATAACGTAAAGTGCCAAGTTCTGCGATCCGTCAGTTCCTGGTCTGCAGGATTTTTGGACCCGGAAACGATAGAGCAAAGTATTCACGAAGCTTATATTCACGCAATCAGCAATGCTCAAAGGTACTGTATGAATTTCAAGTATTTAATTTTTTTCAATTCTCAATCATCACAATCATTATTTATTTGTACTGGGTATAAAATTTGTACAAATCCATAAAAGTAATAGAATAATAATAGAGTTTTACAAAAATTTCGAAACTCGAAAGTTATTTTTTTTGTTCTTTTTTTCTAGCTTCTTTTTGAAGCACAAATATTTTTTTTTTACTTCCTAGTCGAGAATTATTTTCACTCTTTAAGGCTTAAAATTTTTAATAATTGTTTGATTTTCATTCCTCATGAAGAGGATTTATATTGTTGGCGATTTTGATTATCCAAAAGAAGATTATATGTAATCATTTTTATTTAGAAAAAGATATACAAAGTTAAAAAAGTGTCCAGATGTATGTGTGTGTATGTCATAAAAGATTGTGTACAAAATATCTCAGACACGCTTTGACGAATTGCAATCATTAATACCTTAAATATGAAACAAGGATTTTCGAATATATCCACACAATTTCTTTTACCATGATTTAAAAATTTCAAAAATAAATGTCTTGACAAAAAAAATTAATTTTAATGTAAATTTAATTTTATTTGTTAAAAATAATTATATCTTTTATTGAAATGAATTGATTAATTAACCTATGTACATATAAAGTTCAAATTTTACTAAAATTTATAGATTTAATCTCTTTTTTTAGTATAAAAAAATCGTTTTTTATATTTTTTAATGAACTTTTTTCTATATAGAAAAGTTAATTTTTGTCAAAATTATATTGCTGACATGAAAACGCTGTTTGGCAATAATACGGAGAAATTTATTCTGAACTCTTTCATTCTCTTAAATTTGAGCGTTTTTATATGAAGCTTAAAAATCCCCGAAGCATATTTAAGATTAGATCTTACTAGTGCAAAAGAAATAGTTATAAAAACTGAAAATAGATACTAATTTGTAGTGGTTGTAATTGACAGTAATTTTATTTAATTATGTAATTAGAGACATAAAAATTTAATTTAACTGTATGTTACAGGTATATTTATATTGAAAATCAATTTTTCATAACACTTGCAAATGTCGATGGTACAATAGTAAAGAATCGTATTGGCGAAACGCTATTAAAAAGAATACTCAGAGCTCACAGAGAAGGTTCAGTGTTTAGAGTCTATGTGGTCATGCCACTGTTGCCAGGATTTGAAGGAGAAGTTGGAGGAGCTACTGGAACAGCTCTTCACGCTATAACTCATTGGAATTATGCTTCAATTTCCAGGTAACAATAATTTTTTTAATTGAAAGAAAAAATAGATTATTTTTGACGTTTAGTTGAATTAGCACTTGAAAAAATGCCATGCATTTTTATAATTATACAGCCGAACGAAAATGAAAAAAAATTCAAATTATACATACATTTTTAAATTGGATCGGTTCAAATATTAACGATTTAAATTCTACGAAATTAAAACCCTACACAGTAAACTGAATAATGTTATTATGGATGAAAAATGTACAATTTTTATCTCTACACAATTAATTTTTTAAATCAAATATAATTTAATTCTACTTTATTAAACCCAAAACACATCGATTTAATTGAGAATTACAGGGCTCGAATCAGTGAAACTATTTAAAAATACGGACTTTAAGGACCAAAAATGAAAAATTTTACTTAAAATTATAAATTAAATTTTTCATAACTATAAAACATGAATATATCGATAACTCCGAGTCTTCGACTCGGAGTGATCGATTTCTTCATGTTTTATAATAATTAAAGATGACCGAGGGATAAAATCATTATAAATTCAATTATTATTTTCAACAATTTTTAACTAAAATTCTTCTCAAAATCAATTATTTTTAATAATTTTCGAAAAAGTTCTTTAACAATTTTTAAATTCATTTGTTTACAATATTCAATTCTACGAAATTTCAATTATTCGTAAATTCTTCAATTAAATATATATTAGAAAATAAAAACTCAAATAATATAAAAAAATCCGCAATAAAACTTTCTAAAAAAAATTAATTCCACAGAATTGTTAGTTAAAAATATGAAAAATTCAAATTTTCAAAGATTTTAATCTGAAATCTTTTCAAAATTCAATTATTTCTAAAAATTTACGCTCTAATGCTTTTATTATTCAAATATAATCTAAAATTTTAACTGAAATCCATTTTTAAATCAATTTTTTAATAAGAAAATTCTACTAGAATTCAATTATTTAAATAGGGGAAGTGCGCCGGTTGTGGGCACCCTCCGGTTGTGGGCACCCCTACGTAAACTTCGACGGCAAGCAGACTTTACTGAACTAAGTATTGCAAGTCGTGTTCGTTGACAATACGGACTTTTCGTATTGATAACGAAACAAATATATGCATTTGTGTAATAGCTGTGAGCATAATAAAGAAAATTTGCATTAAATAAATAAAAAAGTAATTTTGTATTGTTTTCGAAGAGCAACATATGGGTGTAGATTCGTTCAGAAAAAAAAGGTTTAATTTTTTTTTTGCAGTGTTGTCATTATATTTTGTGATTTACCTTCGTGTTTAACCAAAATCCTGCATCACAAAATGTGTTGGTCTTTTTAAAAAATGACTGTCATTCCCGGTTGTGGGCACCTTTATGTTAAGGAGGCTCTACCATCTGACAATGATGAGGACTACTGTCTCATCTATCTAAACTTTCTGCCAAGGAAAGTGACAGCCGCAAACTCCATTAAATGCGATGAATATAGTCGTTCAATGCATTAGAAGTGCGTTATGGTATGCGTACTAGCTACTTCACATGCAAGCATTATGCTTTTGTTAGCGATGAGCATAGTGTGAAAACGTGTCATCATTTTTGTTCTTTATCCCGGCAAATTCTCTTAAAATAAAGAAACTTTCATTTCTTCTTTATTTGTGTTGGTTTCCTTTAATATTTTTCCATTTTTAGCGGATTTTTCAAGGGTGCCCACAACCGGGTACAAAATTTTTTTTGTCAAAAAATTCCTATTTCACTAAATTTCTAATAAAACTTTTTTATTTAAAGGAATCAATTTAATTCCTTCACTGACAGTCACCTTAGACCACTAGCTTTAAATTCGTACACATATATTTGAATAATATGCACATGGACAAATGTTATGAGGCAAAAACAAAAGGGTGCCCACAACCGGAACACTTCCCTTACAAAAAAAAACTATTTATTGAATAATTGCACGTTTCTTAAAATTGAATTCTCATAAAGAATTTTATTAATAAATTTTTAAATAATTGGATTTTTTTGACGAATTTTAATAAAATTTTTAAGAATAATTACATTTTTTCGAGGAATTCGATTAAAATTGTATTAATAATAATTGAAATTATGCAATGAGTTTTATTATTTATCAAAATAATTGCATTCCTAAGAAGAATTTTATTATTTACCAAAATAATTGACTCCCTGTAAAAATTTTATTATTTATGAAAATAATTTATGGTTTGCGAAGAAATTTATAAAAAAATTTGTAAATAATGAAATTCCTGTGAAATTTTTTGAAAATAATAAAATGTTTGTGTAGAATTTTATTAAATTGTTCTTTAAATAATTGAATTCTTTTGGAAAATTTTATTAGAATAGTAGATGCCTATTAAAAATCATTGAATTGAATTGGAAATCTTTGAAAATAATTGAATTTCCGAGAAGAATTGAATTATTTCTAAAGATAATTAAAATTTTGACAAGAATTTTATTAAAATTGTTGAAAACAATTGAATTTTTGCGAAGAATTTTATTATTTGAAAAGATAATAATTGAAATTTTGACGAGAACTTTTTAAAAACAATTAATTCTCCTGAATTGTTGGTTGAAAAGTATGAAAAACACACATTTTCCAAGATTTTAATTTGAAACCTTTTCAAAATTCGATTTTTTTTTAATATTCAATTATCTAAAAATTCAAAAAAAAATTAATTTTCAAAACAGTTTTGATTAGAAAATTCTACGAGAATACCTATTAAAAATCATTGAATTGAGGAAAATTTTTGAAAATAATTGAAATTTTGACAAATAAAGTTTTATTAAAATTTTTGAAAATAATTGAATTTCGGAGAAGAATTTAATTATTTCTAAAGATAATTGAAATTTTGACGAGAGTTTTTAAAAATTTTTAAACATAATTGAATGTTTGCGAGGAATTTTATTACTTTTGAAAATAATCGAATTCCTACAATCATTTGTAATTTCTCTAAAATCATCCAAATTATATCGTACAATTTACGGACTTTACGGACCTTTTTTAAAAAACGGATTTTTACGGACTTCAAGCAAAGTTACGGACTTTTACGGGATTTACGGACCTAGTTCGAGCCCTGACCATTAACATTTTCTCAAAATTTGAAGAAAATTGATTGAAAATCGATTTTTTCAAGAATAGTAGCAGGAGAACCTCTTCATTAAATGACCAATTTTTGAACTTTATATGTTCTGGAATGAAGAAATTACATATTGACATTTTAAAAATTAGAAAATTTAAAAAAAATTGCCCTTTTGTGTTTTTTTGGTATTCAGTTACAATAATGTATGCAAAAATAATAAAACTTTCCCATAATATTTTAAATCCAAAGGAAAATTGCAGAAGAAAAAATGTCTTAAATAATAAAACAAATTTCATATATGAATTTGTGATTTTACAGAGGAAAGGATGCACTTTTAAATCGACTAATTGCTGCCGGAATTGAAGACCCGAGTGAATACATTACATTCCATGGTCTGAGGACCCACGCCAAGTTAAACGGCTCTCTCGTAACAGAACTTATTTACGTTCACAGTAAATTAATGATTGTCGATGATAGGGTCGTGATATGTGGATCAGCGAATATTAATGACAGAAGCATGATTGCATCAAGGGATAGTGAAATCGCTGTTATTATTGAGGTGATTTCTTAATCAAACTTTTTTAATACCTTTTTTGCGGGATAAAATTAATACCGGTAGCAAATTCTAAAATCTGCATCAAATTTGAGAGAATTTTTTTTTTTTTTTGAAAAAACAAATATTTATAAATAAAAACATAAGAGATTCAAGTACAAATGCAGTTTTTCTTAACATTTATTTTTTGTTTACTTAAACAGTAAACAGGCTGAATATAAAATAACTGTGGATTTCTTTTTATAAAAAAATTATGTTTCGTAATTTCATAACAATTATTTTTGAATTTTTTTATTTGAAGGAATGTTTTTTAGAAAAAAAAAAGAGTTTTTTATTAATTCATTAACTTTTGCTTTAGGACCAAGATTTCACTGAAGGAAGAATGAACGAAATGTCATTTGATTGTGGAAGATTTGCTGGATCCCTAAGAAAGCAACTCTTTAAAGAACATCTTGGACTATTGAGGTCTAAGGATAAAATTAATATTGATGATATTGTCAAGAAGTCATTCTACAGAGATGTGTGGTGTGAGAGAAGTAAACGAAATACTGAGATATATGAAGAAGTCTTTCGTTGTATTCCAACGGATAATGTGGTTAATTTTTCAATGCTGAAAATATACCAAAATGAAACACCATTATGTTCCTGTGATTCTGAAATGGCAACGACTATGTTAACTGAAATTAGAGTAAGTATCTTATGCTTAAAAAACAATTTTATTATTTATTTTTCTCTTCAATTTACGTTATGAAAATAAAATAATTTTTTAAGGGACATTTGGTAGACATGCCGCTTAAATTCCTATGTAACGAAACGCTGAAACCAACTGCTGGTACAGTTGAAGGAATGATGCCAACTTCTTTGTGGACTTAAAAATAATTAAACAGTATTAAAACACTTAAAAGAAACATTTGTTTCTTTTTTTAGACAAATGAATATTGATTCCAAAAATGTTTTATTAATGTCATAAAATTTATTTTTTAAATGTTAAATGAATTAAAAGAAATTTATTATTTGTAAAAGAATGAAAAGTTGAAATATTAAAAAATATTTCAACTTTCGTTTTTTAAATTCCATTTAAATTAAGGGAAAGAAGAAACAGTATTTTGTTTTACTGTAAAATTTAGTCTAAAAATTTTAAGTTATTTTTTACTATTGCTCCATATAATTTTATAGAAACTAAAAGTAGGTAAATGAGTGATAAAAAAAAGTATAATTGATTTCCTATATATTACTATTTACTTAAAGTTCCGCATTTATTTATTAATTTTCGTTTCATCATCGAATGTAATTAATACTCAGGAAATTTTAATTATTGTCTAAATATTAAAGAGTAAATAATTTTATACATATTTTTACGATTTTTAATCTTTTATTTTTAAATTATTTTAAATTAATTGTAAATTAATGTCATCTTCTTGACTCTAGTTCTAATTGTATGACTTGTGAAAGATATACGATAATATATTTTTTAAATATAATTTATTTATTTTCTACATTAAACTTTATGTCGTTTTATTGAAAAAAGAAGCAACGCATAACCAAGAGGAATATTAATTGTGAAAAATATTTATTCAGTAAAAAAATATTGGAAATTATAAGAAATAAAATTCTATTCGTTTATAAAATTAATTTATTTTAAAATATATAAAAATTATTTTTTGCAACACTAACTTCTGAAGTAAATAATAATTAACGTTCTTATAAATGTTTTAAAACTACTTTAACCATGACAATGAAACAGGAACCAATAATGATGTCTTTTTGAACACTTTCCTTGGCATCCAACAAAAAAACAAGTAAATATGTATATTTCAAAATGTATTATTATTATTAAAAGAAATCATTTTAAAGTAAAATTATACTGTTTCAGGTATTTAGTTTTCTACCAGATGGCATTGGAAAAAGATTAAAATCACTATATAGCGAATGATTTAAGACTTTAAGAAACACTAAATCTATCGTTTCGTCTACTGGTATGTTACTCAATTATATTTATTTATAATAAAGTCTACACAAATTTTGAAAAGAAATTATGTCTTTATTTCGAAATAACATTAAAATTCAGACAGTAAAAAGAAAGTCTTACTTTAAGGCAAAAAAGAAGTCTTAAATTAAGATGCAGGATTTTTAAAACAGAGACTGTTTGCCATTAATTTGGAAATTTCGACGCCTCCCGTTCATATAATGCTTATTGAAAAACAAATGCAAGATCATTCTTATTCAGTTTTTAGTGCAAGACAATTCTTATTCGATTTTCCGTGCAATAAAATGCTTATTCAAAATTGTGTGCAAAACAATTGCCACTGACAGAACAATAAATGTAACCCTAAATCATCTTTTTAATATTAAATTGCAATTAAATATCTGAGAATTTCAGTGCGTATCTATTGTTATTAGAAAATTTAATACTTGATTATCTCTTACGTATTAAGAAATATTGTTTAAGCAATTGTAATTAAAAATTATATTCAATTGAAAATTTTATAAAACTCATAGTGTAAGCTAATTTCAGATTGTACTTTTTAGCATAGAATTTTGAATAAGCATTTTATTGCACGGAAAATCGAATAAGAATTGTCTTGCACTAAAAACTGAATAAGAATGATCTTGCATTTGTTTTTCAATAAGCATTATATGAACGGGAGGCGTCGATTTGTACAGAAAAATTTTGACCTGTTTTTGCTTCGACCATTCGCAACTAGGTCCGTAAATCCCGTAAAAGTCCGTTTTTTAAAAAAAGGTCCGTAAAGTCCGTAAATTGTACGATATAATTTGGATAATTTTAGAGAAATTACAAATGATTGTAGAAATTCAATTATTTTCAAAAGTAATAAAATTCTTCGCAAAAATTCAATTATTTTGAAAATTTAAAAAAAATTCTCGTCAAAACTTCAATTATCTTTAGAAATAATTAAATTCTTCTGCGAAATTCAATTATTCTCGAAAATTTTAATAAAATTCTTGTCAAAATTACAATTATTTTCAAAAATTTTCCTCAATTCAATAATTTTTAATAGGCATCTACTATTCTAATAAAATTTTTCAAAATAATTCAATTATTGAAAAGAAAATTTAATAAAATTCTACACAAAGCTTTAATTATTTTCACAAAATAATAAAAACTTCCCAAAAATTCAATTATTTACAAATTTTATATAAATTTCTTATCCATAATTCAATTATTTTCATAAATAATAAAATTTTAATAATAAAATTTTAGATAATAATTGAATATTAAAAGCATTGGAGCATGAAATACGTGTCGGGAAATTGCTTTCGGGAAAAACATTTGTCGGAAATATAGTTGTCGGGACAATAGCTGTCGGGAAACTGCAGTCGGAAAAACTACCGGTAATCTGAATTTTTAGAAAAATAAAACAAAATTCTTCGCATAAATTCAATTGTTTTCAAAAATTTTAATAAAATTCTGGTCAAACTTTCGATTATTTTTATAAATAATTAAATTCTTCTCCGACATTCAATTATTTCCAAAAACTTTAATAAAATTCTTGGCAAAATTTCAATTATTTTCAAAAATTTTCCTCAATTCAATGATTTTTAATAGGCATCTACTATTCTAATAAAATTTTCTTGAAGAATTCAATAATTTAAAAAACAATTTAATAAAATTCTACACAAACATTTAATGATTTTCAAAAAATAATAAAAATTGGATGATTGCGAAGAAATTCATCAAAAAATTTGTAAATATTTACAAAATTTTTTCATAAATTTCTTCGCAATCATTCAATTATTTTCATAAATAATAAAATTTTTACAGGGATTCAATTATTTTGGTAAATAATAAAATTCTTATTAGGAATTCAATTATTTTGATAAATAATAAAACTCATTGCAGAATTCCAATTATTTTTAATACAATTTTAATCGAATTCCTCGAAAAAATGTAATTATTTTTAAAAATTTTATTAAAATTCGTCAAAAGAATTCAATTATTTAAAAATTTATTAATAAAATTCTTTATGAGAATTCAATCTTAAGAAACATGCAAACATTACTAGAAATTTCTCATAAAAATTAATTTAAAAATGGATTTCAGTTAAAATTTTAGATTATAATTGAATATTAAAAGCATTAGAGCGTAAATTTTTAGAAATAATAGAATTTTGAAAAGGTTTCAGATTAAAATCTTTGAAAATTTGAATTTTTCATATTTTTAACTAACAATTCTATGGAATTAATTTTTTTTTAAGAAAGTTTAATTGCAGATTTGTTTTATATTATTTGAAGTTTTTATTTTCTAATATATATTTAATTGAAGAATTTGCGAATAATTGAAATTTCGTAGAATTGAATATTGTAAACAAATGAATTTGAAAATTGTTAAAGAACTTTTTCGAAAATTATTAAAAATAATTGATTTTGAGAAGAATTTTAGTTAAAAATTGTTGAAAATAATAATTGAATTTATAATGATTTTATCCCTCGGTCATCTTTAATTATTATAAAACATGAAGAAATCTTCATGTTTTATAGTTATAAAAAATTTAATTTATAGTTTTAAGTAAAATTTTTCATTTTTGGTCCGTCAAGTCCGTATTTTTAAATACTTTCACTGGTTCGAGACCTGCAATTTGTAAAAGTAATAGTTCGAATAAATGTAGATAGAATTATCAAGTAAAAGTTCTCTGGATTAAAAATTTGGTTTAGTAGAAATTCTAATGATAGATAACTCTTCTAAATAATATTTGTTTAAATAAAAAGTAGATTAAATGAAAATTCTGCGGAATAAAAATTTTCCTAATTAAAATTTCGTTTAGAAAAAAATTCTGTTTAATAGAATATTCGTTTATTTTAAAGTAAATTAAACAAAATTCTAAAATGAAATTAATCCTATGAATAATATATTTTTTCATTAATCTTATTATTATTAATTGTTTTTTAGTTACGCGGTTTTAGCTGTATTAACTGCATAAATTTTAATTCCTTCATCAATTATTCAAAAGTTTTATAAATATACAAATCATCAATACCTACGTAAAATCTAAAATGCTATTGAAAAAAAGTCTGCAATTTAATATAAATTTTAGACTATACTAGCGCCTCAGACGGCCTTCGGCCGTCTTCGTTGCTTCTATTCCATGTTCATTTTTGTTCAATTTTTAAAAGTTTTAATGTTAATTTTTTCAATTTAATAATTTTTTAAATAAAATTCTATTTTACTTAAAATATTTTTTTGCTCAAGTGTAAAATTTTCTATTAATTTAATTATATTTTTAATTACAAATTATATGTTATTTATTATTTATATTATTATTTATTTAGTAGTAAAAGAATAATTTCAGACTGCAGCTCCATCTCTTAAGTATATGTGAATTTTTAATGTACTACAATTTCATTTGGAAACATGAGTTCGCCCTTCTATTCATATTACCGATGCTTAATCTTTTCGATACTTTTCGAGTTACACTTTCGAGTGCATTCGATTCTTTTATCCCATGTCTTTTTTTAGAAAGGAATGTCTTTTTTTAGAAAGGATTCATATAAAACAATTAGGATAAAAAAAATATTTCGAAAATGATATTTTAAAATATAAAAAAAAGATTTTCTTTTAGTTCAAGTGTTGTGGAGCTGAAAAAAATATACTTTAATTGGAGTAAAAAGAAGAGTTTTCAGCCGAAAAATAATTCAACAATAGAGATAATCTTCTCGGATGCTTATTATGTAAACTTTCAAATTCTTGATGTCTGAAGTTCGAAGAAGACATTAATCACAGGTAAATAATGAATTAAAAAAGATTTTATTATTTTAGTAATACATAAAATTAATCACTACTTATTAATTTACTATTTTATATTACTCATGCATGCAAAGATAACACAATTGTACGTGAGAAGTTACAATTTGTTTTAATGTTTTTATGCGTATTCTATCTCCAAAAATAAACAACTAACAAAAATTTTAAGCCCTATCTCATAAAGAAAATTTGCAATCGTTAATTTCATGAAAAGTGGCATTTTTCAAAACGAAGATTGCAAAATCCATTTCAGCTTGAAAAAAATGTAAATTTTGGTCTAAAAAAATTGTAAAAGTACTAGTCGATGGGAAATTTTCCAAAGAATCTAATTCCATTGGAATTTTTGAGCTATCTCCAAACGCGTGCGCAGTAGATTGAAAAAACTGCTTATTTAAAAGAAGTAAATAAAAAAAACACCTATTTCGATTTGGCTCAAATTTTTTAACATTATGCGACCTAGAATATTGAAGTTATTGGCGTTTAAAAACTAGAAATTTTGAAAAAAATGACTTTCAGTGGTTTTTTGGTATTGAATAAGAAAGCAGAGTATTCATAAAATTAATACAAAAATTTGAGTTTTAACTTTGCAGCGGTTTTATATTTCTAAACTTCTGTTTGCAATTATTTCCGTTATGAGTTATAAAGAACTATAAAGAATTTTTCTTAGTTTAAAAAAATCTTAAATAGATTTAACCGTGGAGTCAGTATATTTAATTTTTCAAGGATTATAATAAAAAGGTTTCTTTTTCAAACCACAGGTTCATTAAAACAACCATTTCCATTAATATACTCATTAGATTTCTATAAAAAAGCATTTAAATTTCAATAAACGAAAATCGATGCTTCAAAAGACATGTAGATAGAAATTTTAAATTTTACTTGAAAAAAAAACAAACACAATAAATTTATCTGCAATGCAACTGAAAAGAAACCGGAAATTGTCAAATGCTAAAGAATATTAAATTATTTGTTTGCTTCTGCTTGAATAGAAGAATAGAGAACTAAATTAAATAAAAATCTGCTTTAACGACATAATGACATCGTCTTAAATGCTTGACTCTATAATTGAAGTTGAAAGGTACTTTTAATACTGTTGCATATTACGCTAAAAGAAATATTTTGAATAAAATAAAATAAAATTCTATTTCTTTAACTTGAGTCTATTCAATTTTTAAATATTTTCAAAATATTTTTCTTAGTTAAATAAATTTAAGACTTTAATTAAGTAGAAATTTATATTTTCTTCCTTATGAGACTTTATTACTTCCGTTTCTATTTGTAAGGAATAAAATATTCATTCGTTAAAATAGATATTATTATTATTGACAATATAATGAGACAATAATTTTTTTTATTTATTTATAATAATATCTTTTCAGAGTATTTATCGCAGTAAATGGCTAATTAGTTGACACTAATGAACTCATTGAATTGTAATTTATTAGCTGTTAATTTTTCAGAATGTTTTATTGTTCTGAAAATAATTTATCAAATAGTGAAAAAAAATTAAAAAAAAATTTTTTTTTTAAATTTTTAAAAATAATGTTTAACCGTTTTTGATGGTAAAAATTTTATTTATTATTTAAACGAATATTTTTTCTAATAAAATCTCTATAAAAATATAGGAAAATATTAATTGAATTATTTATTGAAAATACAAGAGCAATGGCTTTTGTATTTAGTACTCTTTGTATTTAAGCTCATGATGTCAACCAAGAGTTCTTATTAATTATTAATAATTACGAATAAAAGATAATAATTAGTTGTACGTAATAGGAATAAGTCTAAAGCTCAATGACATTCTTTTCACCTGAGAACAATAACGCAAAAGCAGTTGCCTTTTTTTGAAATAAATTTACTTCATAATTTGCCAATTAAACGCTTGGTACAATTAAACCAGTCATAAATAATAATAAAAAAAGAATAAATAATTAGAGAAAATATCGATGAAAACAAAATTGACTAATGAAGGAAAAATAAATTGTTATTGTAGACAAAATATCCAGAGAAAAGAAGAAATTTAATTAGATGGATAAGTCAATTCCCAACTGCTACTTATCAAAAAAATTTGATTCCATTATTGCCTACAAAATATCGTATCATAAAAGGATTACTTACATGACACGGACATTCTTTTCTACAAAGGTGTGTTAGTATTGTCGCAAGTACATGACGACATGAAACATTGCCATTAGCAGAAGGAACCGAGCCAGCGTCAACGACACACGTAGTGACTCGTTGATACGCGGAATTGGTTTGTCTTAAATTCAGGTAAAAATGAAAGAGAGATAGCAAAGCATTTTTTCACAAATTTTATCGATAGTTGAGAAAAATTAAAAGTGCCAAGAACTCGTTTTTCTACTATAATCGAACAAGAAAGAAAGTAAGTGAGACAGCCTCCAGTTTAGTTTTGCACAATCCTAAAGGCTCGCGAGTGTTCGAATCGGCGCCTCCATTGAAAAACGATAAAAATAAATAAACAAAATGTGGTTTTTAATTTTTGCGCTTGTGTGTTGTGAAGTGTCATCTGAATTACAACAGGATTTAAGTGATGTTAATTTTTCTACAACAGGAAGTCAAAGGAGAATAGTACCTGACAATTCTAGTATTACTTCGGTAATTTTCAATCAAACTTTCTCTAAAATTACTCAATTCAAAACAAAATAATCAATTAACTTATGATAAGACTTGATGGAAATTCCGAGATAAATAGTATATCAATATATTGTGCTGATAAAAAAAATGATTTGATAAGGAAGTAAATTCTTTATTTAAATTCAGTTAATTTTTATTTAGACAAACAAAATTTGAATTCACCTGTGCAATCAGAACTAAATGTTATTTCATTATCTCTATATGTCGTTGAAAATCTGACTCATGCTTAAGCGATGAAATTGGTTAAGTGTATCCTCAATTTTATTACAACGTAATGGGCATGCAGATTTACCTTAATAAAAAGATTAGCGCAATTTATTGAGGTAAATGAGTAACCTAATACTAGTACACTGCTTGATTAAACCAGTTTTACTAGATCTTAAGTTATGTGCTCAATTTAATTCAGTTCATAAAATTAACCAATTTTTCAATTAACAAACTTATATAGAAGAATAGAAAAAAATTGTTCAATAAAAATTTTAATTAATAAATATGTCATTCGGAAGTATTGCGTTAAAATTAATTAAATATTTAGTATTGTTATTAAATTATTATTTATTTTAAATTAATTTTTGTTTAAGTTTTTTAACGTTTGGTTTTTCATGAATACTGGAAAGAGGCTTGGAAAATACAAAAAAGTTGTGTAATACTGCGACGCAGAATAATTAAGAGTGATTAAAATCATGGTTACAAAGTATTTCCGCACGGATTCCCTCTATAGCAATTGAAAACCGATTTTTATTCTATTGTAATTTCATACAATAAAGAAAAAATATTATATTGTCATTAAATTATGAATACTTTTACATTCTAAAAAAATTGTTATTTCAAATTGTTAACAATTTAAAAAAAAAAAAAAAAAAAAAAAATTTCTTGTAGCATATAAATTTTTAATCTCACCTGTTAATTTGTCGAAACATTTACTAAGAATGTGATAGATAATAATGTGATAAGTCATAAACTACTTGAAAAAAAAATTCTAATATATCATCCCAACTACTTCATTAATTTTATGAAATTTAATAATAGGACAATCAGAATACTATAAAAAAAATTTATTTCAAATTAAAGTTTTTCCACTTTGAGAAAAGATAAATTTCTTAGTTTTTGAACGTTCAAAAAACTACAAACAACATTTAACATTTTCTAATGTTCTTATTTGTTTGCGAAGGTCAGATTCAATAATGTCGAGGATACCTTCAATTTTTTTCAAATGGAATTCGTTTTTTAAATGAATGATAATTATTCCAATCCTAAAAAAGCATTGAGAATGAATAATTATGTGAAGCAACATTGTTTCATATAAAAATATTTCCAATTTTTAAATAATTAACACCTTTTTCAAATAGCTTTTTTTAATATATTCATTCACCTGAGAAATAAAAATATCCTGATAATTTTATCATTAAGATATAATATGAATCACATTGAAACTGATTCGAGATGTTTAAATGATATATTTACAATCGTAATTATTGTTGATCTAGTTATTTATGAAAAGATAAGAATAAAATATTGATTTTTTAAAAATTTACATTTATATATATGTATAATTAATAAAATTGTAAAAAATAATAATTGACTGAAATAACAATGTGAAAAAAATGGTTTTTAAGCAATTTAATATAGAAATTTTGTAATAACTGAATCAAGTTTGAATCCTTGAAAAACAAGTTTTTGATTTCAGATAAAAAGCAAAGAATGCACTATGAAATATTTGTCATAAACATCCTTTTTTAAATAGAGAAAGAATAAAACTCTTTTATCTTTTTAAATTGATGAGTGAATAAGGCAAATAAAGAATTCATTTCGATAATAGAATAAGTAATGTCACAATGAAAAGAACTAAGCTTTCAAGGATGATTCACTGGTGTCGGTACCGTTCTGAAACTTTTACAATTAGGGTACCATTAATAAAACATATCAACGCGCGAAAGTAAGAAGGTAATCACCACAGACCAAAACGACCTTGTTTCTCGTGTACAAGGTTGTAAGAAAAATCTAGTGTTACACATCCGTTAAGTGTTTCCCTTTTATATTTTACAGAAAATGTTCAACTCTAAACTTTATTTAAAATTCAAAGCTCATTAAAAATATCCTTCAACTGAAAAAGATATTCATCATAATTTCTCTCCAATTTTCTCAAAAAATTTTATTATGTTATTATTAAAACAGTCATAACCAGAATAATGTTTTCTTTTATAAAAAAAAGTAACATATGTAAATATTTACTCATGATAAAACTGTTGTGGGATAAAAATGTGTATACAATTTTTTTATGCAAAAAATACGGAATTATACACAATTAATAACTGGCATGAGGAAAAATGTGAATATTACACAACTCAAATGAATTTTTTCCTGTCTTAATTTCAAAAACGAAAAAGAACTACATGAACTTTGCTTACAAAATTCGATGGATATTTCAGGCTTCGCACTCATCTACTAAAAATTATTTATTTATTTATTTACTACTTTTTTTTACAATTTGCTACTAATTGGATACTTTTTTAGATTTATGACACTAAAAGATACTTTTTTCTTTTTTTGGGAAAAATTTGCATCAGTTTAATTTCGCTAATAGTTGAAATGAAAAAAAATTCTAAAAATTGTAATAAAATTCTTTAAAACAATTCAATTATTCTCAAAAACTTTTCGAAAATGAATGATTTTCAATATCTATACAATTTTAATTAAATTCCACAAAAGATTTTTGATAAAATTCTTCGCAAACATTCAATTTTTTTATAAGTAATAAAATTTTCACCAGGAATTGAATTACTTATTTAAAATAATTCATAAAATTTTTCGCAAAAAAATTAATTTAAAAACTTTTTTTTATAAAATTCTACCGCAAGAATTCAATTATTTTCAGGAGCAATAATATTTTTCACGAAAATACAATTGTTTATAAAAATTTAAATAAAATTCTTGGCAAAAATTTAATTACTTTCTAAAATTTTAATAAAATTCAATAATTAAATGCATAATTTCAATTTTTAACAAATTTCACAATTTGAATTTATTTCGTCGAGAAAATTTTGCAAGAATTCATTTCTCTTAAGTTTTAATATATTCTACGTAGAAATTCAATTATTTTCATAAATAACACAGCCACACAAAAAAAATAAGAAGTTCTGATCTGGGGGTCTCACTATGTAGACTTTATGTTTTTTGGGTCGCTGAATCCGAATCCGAGGTCCATTTAACCCCATCAGATCAGGATTTTGACATAACCTCAAAAAACCAATATGGTGGACATGTTTTTGAAAAGTTTATCGGATTCGCTTGAAATTCGTTACTCGGGGGTTTTTTGGGTCGTTGATTACGAATTTGAAGTCTGATTTCAAAAATTCAAAATGGCGGATCCACTATGGCGGACACGTTTTTGAAAAATTCATCGGATTCGCTTGAAATTCGTTACTCTGGAGTTTTTGGGGTCGCTGATTACGAATTTGAAGTCAGATTTCAAAAATTCAAAATGGCGGATCCAATATGGCGGACATGTTTTTGAAAAGTTTATCGGATTCGCTTAAAACTCGTTACTCGGGGGTTTTTGGGGTCGCTGATTACGAATTTAAAGTCAGATTTCAAAAATTCAAAATGGCGGATCCAATATGGCGGATCCAATATGGCGGACATGTTTTTGAAAAGTTTATCGGATTCGCTTAAAACTCGTTACTTGGGTGTTTTTGGGGTCGCTGATTACGAATTTGAAGTCTGATTTCAAAAATTCAAAATGGCGGATCCAATATTGCGGCCACGTTTTTAAAAAATTCATTGGATTCGCTTGAAACTCGTTACTCGGGGGTGTTTTTTGGGTCGCTGATTACGAATTTAAAGTCAAGTTCAAAAATTCAAAATGGTGCATCTAATAAATATGTTCTTTAAAGGAATTAAGAACTTGAGTGATCCAATTCACCCAGAATTACTCTATATCTTACGTGTGCCTGCATCCAGAGCACCAACGGTGGGCAACGGAGTTTGTCCGCTATCCAGCTATGTTGTTGGATGACAACGCCTGAGAGCCTGCTTTCTAACCCTCAACCGCTGATACTGGGGTTCCGAGTCCCTGCATTGTAACACGTTTTCTACATGTGTCTGCTATGACGGCATCGAAGCCATTACCCAGTGACTTAGCCGGATAGCGGAAAACTCCGTTGCCCACCGTCACCTCGTGGAGGCGCCCTGGATGCAGGCACACGTAAGATATAGAGTAATTCCTTGTAAATTGAATAACTCAAGTTCTTAATTCCTTAAAAGAACATATTTATTGGATGCACCATTTTGAATTTTTGAAATCTGACTTTAAATTCGTAATCAGCGACCCCAAAAACCCCCGAGTAACGAGTTTTAAGCGAATCCGATAAACTTTTCAAAAACATGTCCGCCATATTGGATCCGCCATTTTGAATTTTTGAAATCTGACTTCAAATTCGTAATCAGCGACCCCAAAAACCCCAGAGTAACGAATTTCAAGCGAATCCGATGAATTTTTCAAAAACGTGTCCGCCATAGTGGATCCGCCATTTTGAATTTTTGAAATCAGACTTCAAATTCGTAATCAACGACCCCAAAAACCCCCGAGTAACGAATTTCAAGCGAATCCGATAAACTTTTCAAAAACATGTCCACCATATTGGTTTTTTGAGGTTATGTCAAAATCCTGATCTGGTGGGGTTAAATTTTGTGTGGCTGTGTAATATAATTCTTTGGATGAATTCAATTATTTGAAATATAATTTTAATAAAATTCTTCGAAAGAATTCAATTATAGTAAAGATGTAAAATTTGTTTTTTGGATTTTTTTTTCAATTATTTTCATCATGAATAATAAAATTCTTGAGAGGAATTCAATTATTTTTGTAAATAATAAAATTCTTTACAGAATTTGAATTATTTTGAATACAATTTGAAATGAATTCCTCGAAAAATGTAATTATTTTCTGAAGCTCTATTAATATTCTTCAAAAGAAATGAATTATTTTCAAAAATTTTGATAAAATTTTTTTTTGGTATTCAATTTTAAGAAACAATCAGTTATTCTATCAATTATTTATTAGCATTTTATTTGTATTTAAATAATTGATTTTGCGTAGAATTTTTGAATAAGAATTGATTTAAAAATAAATTTGAAAAAGATTTTACATTAAAATTGTTCAAAATTTTAATTCGTGCGGAAAAATAAATAAGTATTGATATACTTAGTGAATAAAAATTTGAAAATTTGAATAATTTAATAATTATTCAAAAAAATCTGTCTTTTGAAAAATTTTAATTAAAATTAAAAGAAATAAAAAATATTTATTTAAATTTCCAATATTAATGGAAAATTTTGTCAAATTTAATTAAAATAAATTTTGTTTAAAAAAAAATTAGTTTTCTTACTTTTAAAAATTATTTTGAAATATAATCAAATTTTTGAAGAATTCTAAAATTTCTAAAATTTCTAACCAAAGTTTGAAAAATATTTGAAGTTTAAAAGAATTTAGAACTGAAGTTATTTTCCATGAAAAGAATATTTTTGATGGAAATCAGGAAAATGTCAGAGAAATACAAAATGAAATTTTTATGAATTAATTTAATGAATTATTTTTCTGAGAATTTCCACAAGTCCACCTACAAGAACGTTTAATATTCCTTGAATGTTAGGTGCAGAAAAATAAAATGGCACATATGTTATTGAGATTTGCATTACAAACGCAAACCTTCACTTGATAAATACATTAATTCTTGTCACAAAAAAAAAATAATTTAAGAAATACTATATTTTGAAGGATTGTCACTTTTTGAGAATTTAAAAAAAGAATCTTTTCTAATTTTGTTTAATTTTTAACATGATTGAAAAAACCCCTTTTTTGTAAAATAAAAGGGAAATCCCAGAAAAAAAACAAAAGTAATTTATGATACTTGAGGATTTTTATTTTTGAAGGAGAATGCATGTTTTATATTCAGCAGACGAGCGAAAAAATTTCCAATATCCTGTCACTATTTGAATGTATATAGAAATGATAAAATTCATTGTTTTATATTCAATGATTTTCACGAAACATTTTTTAAATAAATAATTAAAGAAATATAATTTCAAAGTCAATATGTGAATACTCTTAACATTAAAAATCCTTTTTAATTATTTTTTGAAAGAAACAGAGGGACTTTGATTTAAAATTGTCATCTTTTAATATAAAAAAAAATATTGCAATAGATCTTTGTGGAATAATCACCTCTCATCAAAGTGATTTTTTTTATAAATAAATGAATGGATGAGAAATTGTGAATAGAAGGAGTGACCTTTAAGGACGTAGGTAGAAAAGATTGTGATCAACAATTTCCGATTATTGACCTGTTGTAGCTATTAATAATGGTTTCTTTACTCATGCAACTTTCTGCTATTAAGATACGGTGACTCACACTATTGCAATCTCTTTTTAGGAAATTAAAAGCTTTAAGTAAAATGAAATAGTAAACATTATACCTGAACCGTTCGTTATCTTTTAATTTTTAGTTGATTTGTTTCTATTCAATAATTTGTATATAATTATTAATAATTCCTTTTTGTTAATTATAGGTCGATTGAAGATAAAATACTATGAATATTATTATGATCTACGTTTTAATTCGAAATAAGTTATGCCTTGCTTTAAAAGAGAAATAATATTTTTTTATCCATAAAGATAATATATTTTCTGAGGATTTATGAAGAAAAATTCTTCGCTAATTATTATTTTCTTATTTAAAAATAAACTAAGGAAACAATTTTCTGGAAAATGGTTTTTTTAAAGTACATTACTTTTTTTAGAAATAAATGCGACTTAGATTTTAATGAATTCCATAATTTTGCGCAAAAAAATATTTGCTGTAAAAAATAAGTAAGACTATCTTTTATCTTCGTACGTCAATACGACATGCCATTAAGTCAAGAATTTTTTACTCGGTACGACACAGAGAAATATGTGTACCTGAATCATGAACTGGAATTTCGTTTTATCTTCAAATTTTAGTTTTTTAATTTATTAATTTATTATTGTTATTAATTATTAATTATTATTATTATTATTAACTATAATAATTTTCGTATTCATTTTTTCTGTCCCTCATACTCTGAAATTAGTTTTTGTGTATGTTTCTTTTTTTTAAATATTGTTTGACAAATCGAAAATATGCAGTGTTTCCTGATTTATAATAAAATAATACTATTTGAAATTAAAAAATTAAAAATAAATTATTAACAAATAAATTTTGTTTTTTATATGATTTTTTTATAACAAATTTCGTTTGACTAATCTAAATTATGCAAATTTTTCTCCTTTCTATTTATAAAAAATATTGTTAATTGTTGAAAAATTATGATTAAGTCATAATATTTTATGCATAATTTTAATTTCTCAATAACAATATTGCTCACAAGCTGATTCTTTTCTTTAGGGAAAAAAACACATGTATTTCCGTTTCTTAATAATTTTGTAGAAAATTTTCAATTTTCATAAGGAAATAATTTGCATCATTTCTATTTCTTAATTACAATTGCTTTAATAAAATTCAAAGTTTTTTAAAAATAAAGGAAAAATATGTTTATACTATTTGTCAACTACAAATTTTAATTGAAAATGAAATTGAAACTTTTTAAATTATTAAAAATAAAAGGAACAACTTTTTTACCTCAAAAAAATGTTCTGTTTTTATTTACGAATTTCTTTAATTATAAAATTATTCGAAAACATCAATAACTTCTTTTTAAATAAATATTTAATTATTCTTATTTTTCCACACGAATTGAGACATTCAAAAATTTCAAATTCAAACCTTTTTAAAATTAAACAACTTATAAAAGTATTTGTTCATGTTTTATAATAATTATAGTTGACCGAGTGATAAAATCATTATTTTATATTAGGTATAAAAATATTGTTACTGTAATTTCTTAAAAATTATTTTCTTCATTTCAATTCAATTATTATTTTCTAGAATTTTTAATTATTTTTTATGAAAAAAAATTGAATTATTGAGAAGAAATTTATAAAAAATTTTTGTAAATAATTGAATTCCTGTGAAATTTTATTTATTTATAAAAATAATAAATTAAATGTTTGCGTACAATTTTATTGAAATTGTTTTAAAATAATTAAATTCTTTTTAGAAAATTTTATTAAAACAGTAGATATTGAAAATCATTGAAATGAAAAAATTTTTTGAAAATAATTGAAATTAGGACAAGTTTTTATTGACATTTTTGAAAATAATTGAACTTTAGGGAAGAATTTTGTTATTTATAAAGATAATTGGGATTTTGACGAGAATTTTTTTAAAATTTTGAATATAATTGAATTTTATGAGAAGAATTTTATTACTTTTGAAAATAATTGAATTTCTGCAATTATTTGTAGTAATTTCTCCTAAATTGAATTTTTTTAGTGTTTTCAATAAAAATTTGAAATAAAAATTTTTAAATTCTATTATTTTTAAAATCTACTTTTATATATATAAAGTAATTCAATTATTTTAAAAATATATTTAAGTAAAAATTTAAGACTAAATCAATCTATAAATCAATAAAATGTGTTAAAGCTAATTTTTTTAATTCAAAATATTTTAACTCTGAATTTTATTTTACTAATAATTCGATCAACTTGACTAATAAACTTGGAATAAGCAATTTTTTACACCCGGAATTTTTGTTATTTTTTTTTCTTATTAAAAAGAAGTAAAACCAACGATAATTAAATATTTGAATTTTCAATTTATTAATACAATTCAAATAAATTTATTTTCGTGTTTGTTTAATTAAACTAACTTAATTAACTCTTAGAGAGCATTCAATATTTGTATAATGTATTATTATTAACATAACTGACATTTTCATTCTTATTTCAGATATCGTTACCGATTGCGAGGACAATGAATACTTTAGGAAAATTTAATTATTCTGATCTCATAGAAGATTTTCCAGCCCCAGCAGAAATAAGTAAGTAATACTGTTTTCTAATTTAAAAAATATATTTTTTATCGAGCAACAAATTAAATAATTCGAAAACAAAAAAAAACAATTCTCAACGGATCCAGCCGTTGTAAATATTTAATAATAATAATAATAAAATGTAAAAAATTAACAAAAAAATGCATGAAAAAAAATTCATTCCATTTTAACTAAATCTTCAACCATTTCAACTGATTCTTCAATGGGCTCTTCAATGGTTTCTTTAACAGAATCTTTAGATGAATTTTGTTTTTTAATACGTTCACCCTTGTAAATAATCATATGGATCTGATAATTGAAAACAAAGTCATTTGATTCCTCACAATCGGTAATATTTGTTTTACGAAAGACAAGCTTGTTGCCCACATATTCGGGAATATAGTGATGATGCTCCGATTCAGTTTTTGCTATTTCTTCGCCGAAACTTTTCAAGAAATTATCTCTATCCTCACGAAAGTTAGTATTACGCAAATAACCCCCAAAATCATTCACATTTGGTACTAAATGATTGCTTAACTCACTTATCTCCTCAAAACTCAGTAGCCCACTGTTTTGGAACTTGAACCCAGATGACTTGGTGTTGTTCTTCACATTAATATTGGGGACTTGAGCTTTAGATTTTATAAGAGAATAGGCAATTTGCAGATTGCATGATCTCCTCCAAACACTGGCTGATGTTGCTACTGAATCATAAACATTTCCACCTAGAAATTTATTTTCTATTAAAAATATTGAATAAACTTAAATCAAACTTAAACAGGGTTGCCACAAAAATTTAATTATGTTTTTCCTTCATTTCCAGACAAAATTTTGACTTTTTCCCCTGACCCAAAATAATATTCTGATTTACTCTAAAAATTATTGGATACTCAAAAAAATGTTATATTACATTTATTTATGAATTTCTTTAATTGTAAAATTATTCGAAAATACCAATAACTTCTTTTTTAAATAAATATTTAATCATTATTATTTTTCTATAGGAATTAAGATTCTCAAATACAAACCTTCTGAAATTCAATAACTTATGATAAATTTAACATGACATGACAGAGTGATAAAATCATTATTTCATGTCATAAGAATATTGTAACTATAAATTCAAATTTTCAAAGATTTTAATTTTAAACCCTTTTCAAAATTCAATTATATATCTAAAAATTCACGCTATAATGCTATTAATATTCAAATTATAATTTAAAATTTTAAGTAAAATTCATTATATAATCAATTTTTATAAGAAAATTTTTGAGAATTCAATTGTTTCAAAAAAAAAAAAATTATTAAATAATTGAATATTTCTTAAAATTGAATTTTATCAAAATTTTTAAAAACAATTGAATTCTTTCGGCGAATTTAAAAAAAATTTTAAGAATAAATGCAATTTTCTGTAATTTTATTTAAAATTGTATAAAAAATAATTGAAAATCTGCGATAAGCTTTTGTTATTTATAAAAATAATTGAATTCTTCCAACAAATTTTATTAAAAAATTTTTTAAAGAATTGAATTCCAGTGAAGAATTTTATTTCTGAAAATAATTGAACTCCGGAGAAAAATATTAGAGGAGAACGGGGCGAGGAAGCCAATTGCTTCTTATTTCTGCATAATTTTTTCAAATCGTGCGCTATTGATAATAATGTAGACTGCTTATGGTAGTTTACTTTAGTTGCTAACAGATAGGCATTATTGCTGCAGCAGTTTAGCAATTACAGTATCATTTATGAAAACATACTTTTTGGATGTAACTTTTCTAAGAGTTATTTTGGTGATTTTAGTTAATAGAGTTACACGAATAAAATTCTTGTAAAGTGATTTTTAATGCAGAATTTAGTGCTGAAGACGATGGTGTTAATGAGATTGCGATTTTTTTAATATTACGGGTTTTGTGGATGTTTTCTTAAAAAAGTACTCGTGGGGTTAGGCAGCCAACACTAAATTTTTCGTCTTTTTGAGTTGATTTTACATATTGGATCTTCTAAATGTTTTCTCTTTTTTTCCTACTCGAATACATTTTAAACTTAACATTGAATTTTATAAACCATTTTTTTAAAATAAAAAATTTATATTTCCTTAAAATGTTAAATTGAATTTAATTAATGTTATTATTATAATATTATTCAAATGTAAATTTTTGAAGTTTACTAACAAAATAAAAGTAAGTTAAGGACAACTACCTTGTTATGTTTCACTAATTTTAACTTTAAGTTATGTTTTTTTAACTATTAAAATAGTTGGCCGCCTCACCCTACGTTTTTTCAAATATGCCAAAATATGGTCCTTTGGGAAAAGGGTTGTAGGAATTTTTAAGTGCAACCTACGTCAAAATGTTCTATGGAGATTTTTTAGCCAATAAGACAAGCTTTCTAACGCGATATTAAAATTGAAAAAACCTATTTAAATAACTGCCTCGCAAACCAAAATGTGCCGTCTTGGCTGCCTCGCCCCGTTCTCCTCTATTATTTATGAAAATAATTAATTTCTTATGAAGAATTTTATTAAAATTTTTTAAAAATAATAATTGAATTTATCAACATTTTTTAAAACTTTTTCAAAAAAAAATTAAATTTCATCGAGAAATTTCATTAAAAAATTGAAAATAATTGAAATCAGACGAAGAATATTATTACATTTTTTTTTAAATAATTGAATTTTGGTGAAAATGTTTATTTTTGAAAAGAATTGAATTCTTGGGAAGAATTTTATTTTTTACGAAAATAAATGAATTGTTTCAAAGATTTTTACTTTCCAATACTTTTAATAAAAATTCCTGACTTTTTCCTGATTTCCCTGACCAATTCTAATTTCCCTGACTTTTCCCTGAATTCCCTGACCTGTGGCAACCCTGTTAAAAAGACATGAAAAGCCGTTAATTATAGAATAAATTTTGCAATATTTAATCATCAAATATATTAAATAGTGTAAAAAAAAATTCTCATTACAAAATACTTAATTTAAGTAGTATCGTTTAGTCTAATAAAGAATTCTTCAATTAACAGAAAAATATTCTTTAATAATATATTTCAATAACTAACTTCGTAACGTTTTTTTTGTATAAAAGAGAATTTTAATTCAATTTAAAATTAATTTTAAAAGTAAAAGCTTTTTAATTGTCTAGAATTAATTGCATATTTCACCAAGAAAAAAAATCTGAGACTTTGAAAAAGTATCAGTTTTAGGATATAAATGTTTCGATATTAATTTTCTGAATTATAAATTACCTTTGCGTTTCTTCCACAAACGAAGTTCTCCATTTGCTCGAAGAAATTTGATTCCCTCGACTTGAATCGCTTTTGCAAATCTATTGCTCAGTCCATGTTCCTCCGTTGCATTCATATTTTCTTCTACTTTCAGTTGTTTAATTTTTTCAATACTGTCTTCTATTTCCGAAGCAATTGTTGGTGCGATATCTAATTTAAAAAGTTCATTAAGATCACCATAACTAAGTTCATAAGAAGTTCCTTCTTCCTTTATAAGATTCCCTTCATTGTCAGTGGCGTGCATTGAATTGTCAATGTTTTCACTGGAACTATTTGAATTTTTTGATTCATTCGAATCACTAGAACGATTGTGTTTCCTGAGAAAAAAGTTTTTTTTTAATTGATTAATTTTTCTACAAAGTCAACAGGAACAAAAAGGCATTAAAGACTAATTAATTTTTACTTTTCAGTAAAGATCGAGAATACATCATTATTCCGATCGATAATTACCTATTCGGTTTACGTTTTTTGTAATCGATAGTATCAGTTGGCGTGATATCATTAAAAATATGCCTTGAATTTACTTTATGGTAATTCAAGAAAGTATTTACACTCCTTTTGCCTTTGATTGTTTTATCAAACCAAACGAGAATAACATTGTCGGCTAAATAATCTTCCAATCCAGTAGCAAGTCCATCTGCCAGTGTAAAATAACTATTGGCAAATGACACAACTTGAGAATTTATGTCGGTCATTTTATTCGTTTCGCTTCTGCAACAAAAAAATGTTTACTATAATTTATTAATTATTTTCTTATTACAGGGCTCGAACCAGTGAAAGTATTAAAAAATACGGAATTTACGGAACAAAAATCTAAAATTACGGACAATTTACGGACCAATTGCTGACAAAAATATAACCAGTCCGAGTCAAATAAGAGAATATTTTACTTAAAACTATAGATTAAAATTTTCATAACTATAAAACTATAAAATTAATAAAAAATTAAGGATGACCGAGTGATAAAATCATTATCAATTCAAATATTATTTTCAACAATTTTTAACTAAAATTTATTCTTCTTAAAATCGATTATTTATAATAATTTTCGAAAAAGTTCTTAGAGAATTTTCAAATTCATTTGTTTACAATGAATATTGTATTTAATAATAATTTAATAATTTTACGAAATTTCAATTATTCGTAAATTCTTCAATTAAATATATATTAGAAAATAAAAACTTCAAATAATATAAAAAAAATCCGCAATTAAACTTTCTCAAAAAAAATTAATTCCACAGAATATTGTTAGTTAAAAATATGAAAAATTCAAATTTTCAAAGATTTTAATTTGAAACCTTTTCAAAATTCAATTTTTTCTAAAAATTCATGCTCCAATGCTTTTAATATTCAAATCAGTTTTTATTAGAAAATTCTACGAGAATTCAATTATTTAAATACAATGAAAATAATTTATTAAATAATTGCACGTTTCTTAAAATTGAATTCTCAAATAGAATTTTATGAACAAATTTTTAAATAATTGAATTCTTTTGACTAATTTCAATAAAATTTTTAAGAATAATTACATTTTTTCGAGGAATCCGATTAAAATTATATTAAAAATAATTGAAATTCTGCAATGCGAGTTTTATTATTTATCAAAATAATTGAACTCATAATAAGAATTTTATTATTGACCAAAATAATTGAATCCCTGTAAAAATTTTATTATTTATGAAAATAATTGAATAATTGCGAAGAAATTTAAAAAAAAATTTGTAAATAATGAAATTACTGTGAAATTTTTATTATTTTTTGAAAATAATTGAATGTTTGTGTAAAATTTTATTAAATAGTTTTTTTAAATAATTGAATTCTTTTGGAAAATTTTATTACAATAGTAGATGCCTATTAAAAATCATTGAATTGACAGGGCTCGAACCAATGAAAGTATTTAAAAATACGGACTTTACGGACCAAAAATGGAAAATTACGGACCAATTACTGACAAAAATATATAAGAGTACATTTTACTTAAAACTATAAATTAGATTTTTTCATAACTAAAAAACATAAAGATATCGATAAGCGATCGATTACTTCATGTTTTATAATAATTAAAGATAGAGTGATAAAATCATTATCAATTTAATTACCATTTTCAAGAATTTTTAATTAAAATTCTTCTAAAAATCGATTATTTTTAATAATTTTCGAAAAAGTTCTTTGACAATTTTCAAGTCCATTTGTTTACAATATTCAATTTTACGAAATTTCAATTATTTGTAAATTCTTCAATTAAATATGTATTAGAAAATAAAAACTTCAAATAATATAAAAAAATCAGCAATTAAACTTACTCAAAAAAAAAAATAATTCTACTGAATTGTTAGTTAAAAATATGAAAAATTCAAATTTTCAAAGATTTGAATCTGAAACCTTTTCAAAATTTAATTATTTCTAAAACTTTACGCTCTAATACTTTTAATATTCAATTATAATCTAAAATTTTAACTGAAATCTATTTATAAATCAATTTTTATGAGAAAATTCTACGAGAATTTCATTATTTAAATACAAAGAAAACAATTTATTGAATAATTACATATGTTTCTTAAAATTTAATTCTTTTAAAGAATAATTGTATCAATCAATTTTCAAATAATTTGAATTCTTTTGCACAATTTTATTAAAATAGTAGATATTAAAAATAATTAAATTGGGAAAAATTTTTGAAAATAATTGAAATTTTTCCAAGAATTTTATTAAAATTTTTGAAAATAATTGATATTTCGGAGAAGAATTTAATTAGAGTAGAACGGGGTGAAATAGCCACATTTTTACATTTTAATTTATAAAATCTGAATTAAAAATTTTTTTCTCAAATTTCCAAATGGGATTGAAAGTTTAGTTATTAAGCTTGAATATTCTTGACGGAAATATTTTTTATCCCATGAAAGGACTTAGTTATAAGAGTTTTACGAAACCTCTGCAAATGGCTTTTTTGTACCACCTGGTGGGGGGAGAAAGCCACCTTGCGATTTTATCAAAATATGTTATTAATTTTTGTAATTTTATAGTTTTCCTTTATTTACATGACAAATAATCTTATTTTTAAAATATTTTAATAAATTTTAAAGAGCTTTCATCAAGGAAAATTGAATATTATGTTAAGTTTACTTGTTTTCGATTTACACTGCCAAGTTTTTATACCTTTTTTTAAAGTCTTCCTTAAATTTTACCACAGATGCCATATTTTGTTGCAACCGTTTTTTCGTTGTTTATTTTTTAACGCACTTTATACTATTTTTTCGTCGTGTTTAATTAATTTTATTAATTAAACACGCGAAATTTTGGTAAAAATAGAAGGTTAATTTAAGTAGAAAACAAATGAATTTCACATAATATTCAATGGATTTTTGTCCCTGGCTTTTTCACTCCCAAGACCAGTTTTTCTAAGAGCTAAAATAAATTTTAAATTCAGTTCAATTTCCAAAAATTAATATTGAATACGTTTTGAGTATAGTTTTCTCCTTATGTACAAACATTTACTTTTATTACCCGTTCATTTAAACAGGTTGTAATATGTTCGAAAAGTTCATCGAAATATTATACGCAGAGCAACTCAAAAATTAAAATTACAATAAAAATTATATTAATATAGGTACAACATCCAAACTAGTATCAAAAGTTGCGTATTAACTGATAGTATTTGTATTCTAAATAGCTGATAAATCGGTTTAATAGTTTTCAAATAAAAGTCAAGTCAAATGGCTTTTTTGCACCATGACTATTTCACCCCGTTCTACTCTATCTCTAAAGATAATTGAAATTTTGACGAGAATTTTTAAAAATTTTTGAACATAATTGAATTTTTGCGAAGAACTTTATTACTTTTGAAAATAATTGAATTCCTTCAATCATTTGTAATTTCTCTAAAATTATCCAAATTATATCGTATAATTTACGTACTTTACGGACCTTTTTCAATCGAATTACGGACTTTACGGACCTTTTTTCAAAAAAACGGACTTTTACGGACTTCAAGCAAAGTTACGGACTTTTACGGGATTTACGGACCTAGTTCGAGCCCTGAATTGAGGAAAATTTTTGAAAACAATTGAATTTTTGCGAAGAGGTTTATTATTTGAAAAGATAATAATTGAAATTTTGACGATAACTTTTTTACAAAAATTAATTCTCCAGAATTGTTAGTTGAATTGTTAGTTTTTCCAAGATTTTAATTTGAAGCCTTTTCAAAATTTAATTCTTTCTAAAAATTCATTCTCCAATGCTTTTAATATTCAATTATTATCTAAAATTTCAAAAAAAAATTAATTTTCAAATCAGTTTTGAGTAGAAAATTTTACGAGAATTCAGTTATATAAATACAAAAATAAATAATTTATTGAATAATTGATTACTTCTTTAAAATAAATTCTCATAAAGAACGTTATCAACAAATTTTTAATTAATTGAATTCTTTTGATGAATGTTAATAAAATTTTTATGAATAATTACATTTTTCGAGGAATTCGAATAAAATTGTATTAAAAATATATTCAAAATTCTGCCATAAATTTTATTATTTATGAAAATAATTGAATTATGGCTAAGAAATTTATATAAAATTTGTAAATAATTGAATTATGGCTGAGAAATTTATATAAAATTTGTAAATAATTGAATTCCTGGGTAATTTTTATTATGTTGTGAAAATAATTAAAGCTTTGTGTAGAATATTATTAAATTTGTTTTTAAATAATTGAATTCTTTTGGAAAATTTTATTAGAATAGTAGATACCTATTAAAAATCTTTGAATTGAGGAAAATTTTTGAAAATAATTGAAATTTTGCCAAGAATTTTCAATCAAATTACGGACTTTACGAACCTTTTTTCAAAAAACGGACTTTTACGGATTTCAAGCAAAGTTACGGACTTTTACAGGATTTGCGGACCTAGTTCGAGCCCTGTTACTAGAATTTATTAATTTTTCTCTTTGGTTTTGTTTGTAGTTCGAGTTGGAAGAAATTCTCAATCTAGAGCAATAAGGCCAGAGTTTGCAAAATGCATGCCCGAGAGTACAGTTGTGCGGGTTGTCAAAAATCCTGAACCATCGACCATTTACTTTCCAGCATGTATAAGAGTAAAAAGATGTGGAGGCTGTTGCCAAAATAGTTTATTGGCCTGCGAACCAACAGCGAATAATACAATATATTATGAAGTAAGTAATTTAAATCTTCAACAAGAGACAATTATCACTCGTATTTTATTTCTCACTAGCAAAACTAACTAAGGCTAACTTCTTACATACTTTTTAAAATAAAATTATCAATTTAAAAAAATAGAACTTAAAAATTTGTAATTCAAATTTTTTTTCTTAAAAATAAAATATGAATTGGAATATAGATTATTACTATTATAACCACAATAATCATATATTCTGAGACAGGGGATTCAAGGAAAAGTCAGACATTTTTATTAAAAGTACTGAAAAAAATAAAATGTTTGGAATTCATAAGAAAATTTTTAATTTTGGTGTCTTTTTTGCTATGAAATCACCACGAATTCTAATACAAAACTTTAAAAATTTTTTTATTTCCGATAATAATTTCTTTTTTAATAACTTCATTCTTGAAAAAATATCATACAATTATTATACTTATAAATTATTTAATGAATAATTTTACCTAAATATTTGAATATTAATTGAACTTTCAAAGAATTGAGTTTACAATTTTCATAAATAGAAGAACATCAAAACGCTTTAATTTGAAATTTTATAAAATTTCAATTTCAAACTTTAAAAAAAATTCTCTGCAAAATCACAATTATCTTTATAAATAACAAAATTCTCCAGAATTCAATTATTTTAAAAAATTTTCCTCATTTCAATATTTCCTATTTCTTAATCATAATTTTTTAACAATTAACGACTTTCTAATATTTTTTATAAATAGAAAGCAAAAAAATTTGCATAATAAGTCAAACGAAATTTGTTATAAAAAACAAAATTGATTTGTTAATCATAATTTTCTTTAACTTTTCTAATTTTCCAATTTAAAATATTATTTTATTAGTTTATTATGAAATATTCTAATTTTATTAATTAAAGTATTTGTTCGTTTTGTTAAATTTTGTTTTCGCATGATAATTATAATTTCAAATACATAACTGTTTATATCAATTTTTTACAAAAACTATTTATTTATTTAACACATTAACGGCAAGGCCCTTTTGTACAAATGTACTAAAGTATAAAATAATTAAAACGCAATAATTCAATTTTAAATTTAATTCAAATTTTTGCAGATAACAGCAACAACGATTAATTACTCAACAGAGAACCATAAACCTTTTCGATTTAAGAATGCAATTATTGTACCAATAGAAGAGCATACAGCATGTAGATGTGTTTGCGCGATTAAGGAAACAGTAAGCACTTTTTATATTTTTTAAAAAACTTTTGTTTAATAAACAGAAAATGAAAAATTCATTTAACATATTCAACAGTTAATATTAAAATTATTATTTATATATTGAGAAATGTAAAATTAAAAAATGTTTCTTTACAGGATTGTAATAGTAATCAAATGTACAAGCCGGAAGAATGCAGATGTCAATGTAAAAACCTTGACGAGAAAGAAAATTGCAAAGCGGGTAACGCCAAGAAAACGTGGAACCCTGAGCTCTGTATCTGTCAATGTCAGGAAGTTGAACAATGTCCTACAAACTTCTACTTCGATCCAAACACTTGCAGGTGTGAATGAGAGTGAAAAAGGCTTAAACCTTTTATTAGAAAAAAAATTATTTTTTAGTGAAAATAATTTCTTTTTTCATAGGTTCTTTTTTTAAATCATTTTTATATAGAATTTAAGTAATCTTTGAAACTAATCTTTCTTTAATTTTAATTTTTTAATTGTAAAATCATCAATCATCATTTGATGATTTCAATATTCCATTCTAGTCAATATAATTGAATTACATTTTCAAATTTAATTCTTCTTACTATTTATATTTATTCTAAACTATTCTTCTTTACACTACTCTCCACAACATTTAAACTTGCAGCAAGATTGACAACATTGCTGCAATTTCACAATATTCAGGTAATATTATCAATGTTGCTGCAAGTTTAGATGCTGTAGGGGCACATTATATAATAAGTAGTCAAATTTGGTTGCTCGCCTTCCTCTCTCACGCTTTGGTGTTGGTCTGAATTTTTAACCATAAATTGCAATTCATTTTTTAAATTTATATAGAAAAAGAATTCAAAAATTAATTTAAATTTTACTAGTATTTTACTTTACTGCTCAAGCTCATTAGGGACCATCCATAAACCACGTAGCTCCGATTTTTGAACTTTTCGACCCCTCCCCTCCCCCACGTAGCTTAACGTAGCATATTACCGAACCCCCTCCCCCCCTACCTAATGGAACGTAGCTTTTTTCTTTTTTTATGAATATTAAATTCTCTTTTCTAAAAATAATCAATAAAATCGTATTGAAACATAGTAAACAATATTAAATGTTTTTAAATCACAGTTTATTTTTTTCTTTGACAAGTAAGAGTTTGATTTAATCGATATTTTTGTATATATATGTATATTTTTTCATCACTATATATTTTATCAATATATGTGGACGTCCACATGAAAAGGGCCTATATTGTCGGTTCTAGTTTTCGAGATAATCACAATTTAGTAATTTTGGAGCAAAATCTTAATTTTTAAAAATTTTTTATTATCAATCTACATGTTTTGACAAGTCGAATCATGCGGTTTTCATTAATTTATCGATAATTTAACTGTTTGATTTCATTGGTTCTTTAGAAAATTGAAAAGGGCCCATTTTGGCGGTCATTTGGAAAATTAATCCGTATTTTAAAAATAGAGGTGTGGAAAAAATTTAAAACCTCTTGATTTTTCATCTTTAAGGTGTCCTGGACTGTAAACAATTCTTATCTGAATAACTTCCCAGAAGAACCAGAGATATTGATGTTAGAGTCTTTTTTTCGTAATTGTCGAAATGAAAATTTGAATATTACGTTAATTTTTTCATAATAGAAACTGTCAAAAATTTTTAAATAAGTTTAATATCTATCCTTTTTCTTCAAATGACACAATTAAATTGTACCTAATAATTAATCTTGTTAAAAAATGGTTCTTTAATAGAAAAACTGTCCTTTTTAGAAAAAAAAAGTTTTTCGTATTTTCAAAATTAAGAGGGGGGGGGGGATGGTTTTAAAAATTTAAAACCTGTTGGTTTTTTATCTTCAAGGTAACCGTTTTTCTCGAAATGAGGTTTTTGGCGTTCTAAACTTTTAAATTCGTAACTCAGCGAATTTTTAACCAAAAAAGTTCTAAGACCACTCAAAATTTTCCAACTTTTGCCAGGAATACGCCCATATAGATAACTCCAATAGTGTTAAAATGGGCCCTTTTCATGTGGACGTCCACATATATTTCTCGACTTGACTTTCGAGCTGCCCGCGTAATTTAAAAAAAATGTATGTCAAATAAAAATACAAAGCTACGTTGCTCAGACTAAAAAACCCTCCCTCCCCCCATGTGGTCTAACGTAGCACATTACCGAACCCCCTCCCCCCCAAAACAGGCTACGTGGTTTATGGATGGTCCCTTATTTTTAGTTTCATTCTTACCAATCTATTGTTTTATTAAGATTTAAGTTTACAAATTATTTAATATAAATTAACGTAAATTAATCAATTTATAAAAATAGATGTTAATAAGTTTCGTATATTTGCCCTTTTTAATTATGAAAAACAATTTTTTGTTAAAAAGTACACAGGGTACACAGGGTTGCTACAAAAATTAAATTTTGTTTTTCCCTGATTTCCAGACAAAATTTTGTCTTTTTCCCTGACCCTAAAGAATATTCTGATTCACTCTAAAAATTATTAGATACTCAAAAAAATCTTCTGTTACATTTATTTACTCTAATTGTAAAATTATTCGAAAACATCAATAATTTTATTTAAAATAAATATTTAATCATTATTATTTTTCCATAGGAATTGGGATTTTCAAAAATTTCAAATTTAAACCTTTTAAAATTCAATTTAAGAATATTATTATAAAACATAACCAAGTGATAAAATCATTATTTTATATTATAAGAATATTGTTACTGTAACTTCTTCAAAATTATTTCCATCAATTCAATTGAATTATTATTTTTTAGAATTTTTAACTACAATTTTTCTTTAAATCAATTATTTTTAATAATTTTTGAAAAAGTTTTTTAATAATTTTCAAATCCATTTGTTTACAATTCAATTTTAAGTATGGAAAATTTAGATTTCAGATCTAAAATTTTAACTAGAATCCATTCTTTAATCAATATTTATAAGAAAATTCTACGATAATTCAATTATTTATTTACTTATTTATTTATTTTACAATCAATTAAATAGAAAAATAAATAATATATTGAATAATTGAATGTTTCTCAAAATTGAATTCTTATAAAGAACTTTATCAATGAATTTTTAAATCATTGAATTCTTTCGACAAATTTTAATAAGATTTTTAAGAATAATTACATTTTTTTTAGGAATTCGATTAAAATTGAATTAAAAATAATTACAATTCTGCGATGAGTTTTATTATTTATGAAAATAATTGAATTACTAAAAAGAATTTTATTATTTACGACATTTCGATTATTCTGAAATTGTTTGATTAAATACTCTGAAAGAAAAATATTTGAAATTTTCCCAAAAAAATTTAGGAGGCAAATTTCAATAATTATTTAGAAAAATTTACTAACATAGATAAAGGAATTTTTCTACAAAATTATCGAAAACTTCCTAAGAATTTGGAAACATTCTCATGAAAAAGTGTAGAAAAAATCCCGAAAGCTTGGAAAATTTCCTTATGAAAATATAGGAAAATTTCTGAGAATTTGGAAAAATTCCCATATTTGAAAAAATTTCCATGCAACTTTCATATAACTTCAAATTATTTTTAAAAAATTAAGTTAGCTTTTTTAAAAAAAATCAATTCTTCAAAATAGCCAGTAAAAGTACAGAAAATTCATATTTTCAAATATTTTAATTTTAAACCTTTTCAAAAATAATTAAATTATTTAAATACAAAAGTAAATTATTTATTGAATAATTAAATACTTTTTTAAATTTAATTCTTATAAAGAATTTTATCAACAAATTTTTAAATAATTGAATATTTTTGACGAATTTTAATCAAATTTATAAGAATAATTACATTTTTCGAGGAATTCGATTAAAATTGAATTAAAAATAATTGAAATTCTGCGATGAGTTTTATTATTATTTTTTTTTATTGTTTATACTCCTGCCCTATTGGCCTTACGCACTTCGACAAGAGTCCCCGAGAAATACTTTTTGGATTAAGCATAACCATTCTACTTATGAAATTGAGTTTTATTATTTATGAAAATAATTGAATTCCTAAAAAGAATTTTATTATTTACCAAAATAATTGAATATCTGCAAAAAATTGTATAGTTAGTGAAAATAATGGAACTATTACGAAGAAATTTATAACAAATTTGAAAATAATTGAATTCTTTGTAAATAATTGAATTCCTGTGATATTTTTTTATTTATGAAAATAATTAAACGTTTTCGTAGAATTTTATCAAAATTTGTTTTAAATAATTTAATTCTTTCGGAAAATTTTATTACAATAGTAGATATTAAAAATCATTGAATTAATGAAAATTTTTGAAAATAAATGAAATTTATTAAATTTTTTGAAAATAATTGAATTTCGGAAAAGAATTTTATAATTTATAAAGATAATTGAAATTTTGACAAGAATTTTTTAAAAGTTTTGAAAACAATTGAATTTCTGCAATTATTTGTAACTTCTTCAAATGTCAATTTCTTAATATATTTTAACTAGAATTCTTCTATAAATGGGTCACCCCACTGACTTTCGTCTGGGGGCTGTTGCGGCTATATTTTAAAAAAATCTGGTTTCAAAATATGTAAAACTAGAAGACTTCCTGATTCCATTAACCACAATATTATTCCGAAAATTTTATTTTTTTAAATGTTATTATTAATCAAAAGTTGGCCTCTCAGAGTGTTATTTTGTAACCTTAAATTTTGCACTTTTTTAAAATCGTTTTTATTCAATAATTATTTTATGTCATATAACAGAACTTACCAAAAGCATAAATCATTTGATGGTGAATCAGGAATCGAAGCAATTACTATGGAAATATATTATTTTTAATTAATAAAGCGAAATCGAAAATTTTTTTCACAAAAAAATTTTCCGATTTTCTGAAGACTATAACTTTTTTCTCAATGCTCCTAAAATTTCAATCTTCTCCGTGTAGATTAAAAGTAATATATTTTACTCAATACTAATATTTGTCGTATGTGTTTTGCTTCGTTTTTGAAAAATTAAATTTTTAAATTATTCACTTAAAAATGTTAATTTTAGAACTTGAAGTTAACCGACCAATTTCACATCACTCTATTTACACGTTGAAATTCGATGAGAATTGTATAAAATTAACCTTTTTAAGAAAATAATTTAAAAATTTAATTTTTCAAAAACGAAGCAAAACACATACGTCAAATTTTAGTATTGAGTAAATTATATTACTTTTAAGCTACAAGGAGAAGATTGAAATTTTAGGAGCATTGAGAAAAAAGTTGATTTTGTGAAAAAAATTTTCGATTTCGCTTTATTAATTAAAAATAATATATTTCCATAGTAATTGCTTCGATTCCTGATTCACCATCAAATGATTTATGCTTTTGGTAAGTTCTGTTATATGACATAAAATAATTATTTAATAAAAACGATTTTAAAAAAGTGCAAAATTTAAGGTTACAAAATAACACTCTGAGAGGCCAACTTTTGATTAATAATAACATTTAAAAAAATAAAATTTTCGGAATAATATTGTGGTTAATGGAATCAGGAAGTCTTCTAGTTTTACATATTTTGAAACCAGATTTTTTCAAAATATAGCCGCAACAACCCCCAGACGAAAGTCAGTGGAGTGACCCAAATCCATTATTTTTAATAATTAATCAGATATATATATATTATAAAATTTAACTGATTTTAGAAGAATTGGAAATAATACAATTTTTCAAAAATCTAAGTTCTTTAAAACTTCTAATTAATTTAATTCAAAATTTAAGTTTTATAAAATTTCAAATTAATACCTTTTGAAGTTCATCTATTTACGAATGAAGTTATTTAGTACAAAATTATTGTCATAAATAGATAAAATTGAAGGTTTCGTGGTAGTTTTATAGTTTATGAGGCAAACAAAAAAAAAAACATTCAGAATTTTCTTATGAATTTTAAAAATTTAATTTTCTTCAGTACTTTTTAATAAAAATCCCTGACTTTTTCCTGATCTGTGGCATCCCTGGTACATTAATAAAAGTATGAATAATTATATTTTTAATATGATTTAAAGTAGTTTTTTTAATTTAAAAATGTGAAAGCATAGAGTTAGAATTATTTTTGTTTTAATAGTTCGTCAAATTCTTACTTTTATTTAAATATTAAAGAATTTATTATTTAACAAAAAAATACCTATATAGAGTAATGAACACAATTATTAACGAATATTTTCAGTTTTCCATTTTCTTCTTGAAGTAATAATTAAAAACGGAGTTTCAAACTGTATTTTGTATTTGAATTGTTTAATTAACAAATAAATTAAGAAAATTTAGAATTTTAATGATTAAAATTAATTTTAGGGAACCTAGTAAAAATAAATATTTTATTTAAGTTTAAATTTAAAAATATGTTATCAATGTAACTGCAGTAGTCACATTTTTTATGACTTTTGGCATTAATTTTCAAATTATCATTAAATTTCCATTTAATGAATCTGCTAAAATTTTGTTAAAAATGAATTCTCTTTAATTTCAGCTGCAAGAAGATAGTAGTCGAAGCCTGGTCCAGCGACAACAGAAGACCAAATTATAGCTTTAATACACCAAGACCTAGTCAGTCGTTACCGGTTTTATATCCACCCGATGTAGACGATTCGCGAAAACGACGATAACAATATGCTGAACAGTAAAAATTAATTATGTTTTCTATTCAAGTATTTATACTGCTAAGAAATTTCGCCTTACCAGAATTGTAAAAAGTATTAACATTAAGAGATTAAAGTCTGGATAAGCGACTATTCATCACATAGATTAATTTTTAATTTCTATTTGACTATGTGAAGTACCATTTCTTCGGTTTGTTATTATGACTTTTATTAATTTAAAAAATGTAAATTTTCGTAAACTACAATGACGTATTACAAATTATGTCACATTATTCTATAATAGTAATGAATGAAACTCATGTGATAGTTTTTACCTGTTGTGAATTTAAAATAACATCCAGAAGTATTCATATCAAAATATTGTATAAAGTTACAATATAATTGACTCAACTTTAAGCTAAAGAATGTAAATTCATGTTTATTTTCATATTTATATATTATTGTAATTAAATTATGAAAGAGAATTATAGGGACATTATTTCTAACGTATATTAAAATAACGACTGCGTTTTCAGTAAACTGTAATTGTTTATAGGTTTTAAAAGCCTTTTAAATTCTTTTACTGTTTATAAATTTTTTACATGCAAATTTATGTAGTACAATATGTTGCTAGATATATTTTCACGTTAATTTTTTAACTTAAAAATTTATGTTACAAAATACATTTTTGCATTATTTATTACTCTAAGAAACGGATATTATCATTTCTCGTAAAGAATGTTTTTATCATAAAAGTGGAATTTACTTCCTTAGTAACATATATCAGAAAAAACAAACAATAGATTTGTAAAAAATATTTAAATTTTCTAACAATCTTTTGATTCACGTTTTATTTGGTCCGTAACTTTGCTTGAAGTCCGTAAAAGTCCGTTTTTTTGAAAAAAGGTCCGTAAAGTCCGTAAATTGTGAATTGTAAATTGTAAATTTGGATAATTTTAGAGAAATTGCAAATGATTGTAGAAATTCAATTACATTCAAAAGTAATACAATTCTTCTCAAAAATTCAATTATGTTCAAAAATATTTAAAAATTCTCGCCAAAACTTCAATTATCTTTAGAAATAATTAAATTCTTCTCCGAAATTCAATTATTTTCAAAAAATTTAATAAAATTCTTGTCAAAATTTCAATTATTATCAAAAATTTTCCTCAATTCAATGATTTTGAATAAGCATCTACTATTCTAATAAAATTTTCCAAAAGAATTCAATTATTTAAAAAACTATTTAATAAAATTTTACACAAACATTCAATTATTTTCAAAAAATAATAAAAATTTCACAGTAATTTCATTATTTACAATTTTTTTTTTAAATTTCTTCGCAATCATTCAATTATTTTCATAAATAATAAAATTTATAGCAGAATTCTGATTATTTTTAATACAATTTTATTCAAATTCCTCAAAAAATGTAATTATTCATAAATATTTTAGTAACATTCATCAAAAGAGTTCAATTATTTAAAAATTTGTTGATAACATTCTTTATGAGAATTTATTTTTAAGAAGTAATCAATTATTCAATAAATTATTTATTTTTGTATTTATATAATTGAATTCTCGTAGAATTTTCTACTCAAAACTGATTTAAAAATTAATTTTTTTTGAAATTTTGGATAATAATTGAATATTAAAAGCATTGGAGCATGAATTTTTAGAAAGAATTGAATTTTCAAAGGGTTTCAAATTAAAATTTTGGAAAATCTAAATTTGTCATATTTTTCAACTAACAATTATGTAGAATTAATTTTTTTTTAAAGTTCTCGTCAAAATTTTAATTTTTATCTTTTCAAATAATAAAATTCTCTCCAAAAATTTTAATAAAATTCTTGTCAAAATTTTAATTATCTTTACAAATAATAAAATTCTTCTCCAAAATTTAATTAATTAAAAAAATTTTAATAAAATTCTTAGCAAAATTTCAATTAATTTTAAAAATTTTCCTCAATTCAATAATTTTTAATATAGACATTTACTATTCTAATAATATTTTCCAAAAGAATTCAATTATTTAAAAACAAAAATTAATAAAATTCTACACAAACCTTTAATTATTTTCACAAAATAATAAAAATTTCACAGAAATTCATTTATTTATAAATTTTAAATAAATTTCTTAGCCACAATTCAATTATTTTCATAAATAATAAAATTCTTTTTAGGACTTTAATTATTTTTATAAATAATAAAATTTATGTCAGAATTTTGATTATTCTTAATACAATTTTAATCGAATGCCTCGAAAAATGTAATTATTCTTAAAAAGTTTATTAAAATTCGTCAAATAATTCAATTATTTAAAAATTTATTAATAAAATTCATTATGAGAATAAATTGTTTTTTTGTATTTAAATAATTGAATTCTAGTAGAACTTTCTCATAAAAATTGATTTAAAAATGGATTTCAGTTAAAATTTTAGATTATGATTGAATATTAAAATCATTAGAGCGTAAATTTTTAGAAATAATTAAATTTTGTAAAAGTTTCAGATTAAAATCTTTGAAAATTTGATTTTTTCATATTTTTAACTAACAATTCTGTGGAATCAATTTTTTTTTGAGAAAGTTTAATTGCGGATTTTTTTATATTATTTAAATTTTTATTTTCTAATGTATATTTAATTGAAGAATTTACGAATAATTAAAATTTCGTAAAATTGAATATTGTAAACAAATGAATCTGAAAATTGTCAAAGAACTTTTTTGAAAATTATTGAAAATAATCGATTTAAAGAAGAATTTTAGTTAAACATTCTTGAGAATAATAATTGAATTGATAATGATTTTATCACTCGGTCATCCTTAATTATTATAAAACATGAAGAAATCGATCACATGAAGTTATCGATATCTTTATGTTTTATAGTTATGAAAAATTTAATTTATTGTTTTAAGTAAAATATTCTCTTATTTGACTCGGACTGGTTATATTTTTGTCAGCAATTGGTCCGTAAATGGTCTGTAATTTTTCATTTTTGGTACGTAAAGTCCGTATTTTTAAATACTTTCACTGGTTCGAGCCCTGTTATTGGAAAAATTCTTTCAAAACAGAATACAAAATTTATAGTGTCTATTTTACGAATTTAAAAATGGCAGAGACCAAATTTCTAAATTCTTGTAAATGATATAACTCCTGTATTTAAGTATGTTAATATTTTACATATGTTCTTATTAGAATAATTTATAAATATTAAAAAATTTAAAATTATACTCAAAACACTTAAGAAATAATGTCCAATTTTAAAGCTTTAAGCGATAAAAAAATTAAATTAGAAAATTATTTTTATTACTGTAAATCGTTTTTAAAAATCAAAACTGTTGAATGTAATGTTTATATGTGTACGTCTCCATGAAAAGGGCACATTTTGTAAATTTAATTTTAGTTAGGAGATAATCGCAATTTTCTAAAAGCCGTTCAGAATTTTGATTTTATCGTATTTAAAACAATTAATAATATTATTTTTAATTTTTAATTAGCATGAGAACTAATGGTAAATTTGAATTTTAAATTCGTTTTTTTCTAAATTAGATTTTTCACATTTCAAACTTTAAATCTCTAAAAGTTGAAGAATTTTTTACTTAGAGGGGTCTAAGACTTCTCAAAGTGTTAGAAATTAATCGAGAATATGCTCATATAGGTAGATAAGTCCCATAGTGCCAGAGTCGGCCCTTTTCATGAGAACGTACACCTATAAACTTATGAATATGTATATATTATAAATTATAAGTATCACGTACAATTCTAATAGACTACATATTTTAATAAGTTATTATCCTTAAACATTTACCTTAGTTAATTTAATTTTCTTCTATGATATTCCTTTGGAAGCTTCAATTTCTTAAGAATTTTACAGAATTCAAATGTACACCGACTTTTCCTCTTAGTTATTGTAGACTTTTACTATAAGGTTTTTTTTAAACAAAAACATTAAAACTTCTTGATCAGTTTCAATGTTTATTCGTTAGGAAAGCTAAAATAATAGAAAAACAATGATTAAAAATTTAATCTGCTATTGGTGTTAACTTGGCGTGCAAAACGTGCAACTTTTAATATATAACCTTAAAATAGTTTTAAACCATTAAATATTTTTTAATAGATTATATTAGAAAATTGTTGGTAAATTTTTTAAATAAATAAATAAATAAGTAAAAAATGTATGTTCGTGTAAATAAATCTTTGTTAAATTAAAAACTATTTTGTGATTTTAGTCATTTTGGTGCACTTCTAACCTCAAATTACTGAAATGATAAAACAATTTCTGTAACACTTTGGTATTAATTAAAATTCACTACTTTCTTATTAAATGTACACTTACTAATAGAGTCTTCAATCTAGCCGATTTTCAATGATACGTAAAATTTCATTAATCTTATTTGATCTTCTATACTTTAGATTTTTATTCATAATCATAATCATAATTATAATCATCATAATTAAATACGCGGGAATCTCTGGACATAAAAAGCGGGAAATCATTTAACTACGGTAATCAAATGAAACACAATTTTAAGATTTATAAAATATTTGAATCATATTATAATGCATGAAACAATTAAGAAGAACCTAGATTTTAATAAATATAAAATCCAGTTGTATACTAATATTTTTCTTTCTTTATTAAATTTATATTCGATAAACAAAATATTTTTTACATGAACATCGATAATAATTTTTAAGCATGCGTGCCAAGTTTTTCAGTCTGTTTAGCGGGAAAATTTAAATAATTTAAGAATACAATTGAATACAAAAGATGAATAACTACTTTATCGACGTGCCAACATTTTAATTATTTTCAATAAAAATTTCACAAGAATTCAATTATTTACAATTTTTTAAATAAATTTCTTCGCAATTATTCAATTATTTTTATAAATGTTTAATTATTATCAAATTTATATTGTTATAAATTGTTTAATTTAAAAAAGGTATTTGAATTTGAAATTTTTGAATGTCTCAATTCCTATGAAAAAATAATAATATTTAAATATTTATTTAAAAAATAAGTTACTGATGTTTTTGAATAATTTTACAATTAAAGAAATTCGTAAATAAATGTAACAGAACATTTTTTTGAGTAAAATTTTTTCCTATATTTTCTAAACATTTTCAGTTTCATTTTCAATTAAATTTTCCAAATGACAAATAATTTATAAACATTTTTTTCCTTTATTTTTAAAAAACTTTGAATTTTATTAAAACAATTGTAATTAAGAAACAGAAATTATATAAATTATTTCCTTATTATAATATTGAGAAACAGAAAATATGCAAAATGTTTTTAACAATTTTCTAACTTTTATCAAAATTATGGAATTTTACAAATTTTAGGAAAATGAATATTAGAAATCATAAGTTTTTAGAAAAACAAACAAATTTTGATTTCTATAGAAATCAAAATTTGTTAGAAAAACGTTTTTTAGAAAACAGATTTCATTAGAAATCGCTTTTTTTAGACAAATAGGATTAGAAAATATTTTTTAGAAAAAGTGATCACCTACCTTGTCAGAAATATAAAAATTTAAAATTTTTATTTTAGAGGGAGCGTTCACAAATGATGTCACGCAATTTTTTTGAGATTTTTAACCCCGTTTAGTAGAGACCCCCCCTATCCCAAAGAACGTGACATCATTTGTGAACGTTGCCTTATCGAATCGCCAAAAGATCAAATTTTTTTGGTTAGTGTAGGGTATATGTGTAATTATATTTTACGTGTCCAAATGGTGATTCCGATTAATTTCATTTTTTTACTTTTTCTTTTCTAATTTTAAACTATAATAATTAAACATTTATTTAATAATATTTATTATTAAATTAAACATAATTATATTTCATCGTTATTTTTGATTTCGAACTTAATTTAGGCAGTGGCCCACAATTCCCCAAATAATAACGTTTTTGAAAATCATAAAATTGGACTCTTTTGTAAAACTGAGATTTCTTTAAGGTAAGTGATAATTTTGGGAAACTATGACTATGATATATATGTTAGTTTATACCTCCTACTGACACGAAAAATTTGAAAAAAAAATGTTGTGTGTAAGATATTGAGCTATAAAAAAGTGTGACCAACAAGTCCCCAATCTTCTATATAGTCCTTCATTTTGGGGTTAAAATAAATGACCTAAATTTGGTTTTTCGAACTCCGTCGGGAAAGTAAAAAATTTTTGCAAAATAGGTGCAAAAAATCAGTTTTTTAAAAATTACCGCTTTCCATTACATTTAAGGGTAAAAATAGTTATTATAAAAAATAAAGTGTATGAAATTCTGAGCAATTTAAGAAAAAATGAACCCTGTAGGTCAAAAATTGACCGAGTTATGCCCTCCGCAATAAACCCGTTTTTTTCGTGATTTTAGCCAAAATTCGCTATTTTTCAGTTTTTTCAGAATAACTTCTAAAATATTGATTTTTTAAAAAATGACCAACAGAGGATTTAAAGCTGACTGAACAATTTGCGATTTGCGATAAAGAAAAAAAGCATGAAGGCATGGGCAAGATCGAATATCGAAAATATCGAAGAGAAATCGCAGCGCGATTAGGAAAAAAGCATTGGAGAAAGGCATACTTATAAGCAAAGTGCATGTTGCAGATGGAGCTGCGGTTGTCCAATTGTTGGCGCTAACTTTTAAAATGTTGATAGCCTTTTTTGAAATTGATAAAAAATAAATATTTATTTTTATTCATTTTTTAATTAAAAGTAATTAAGAAAATTAAATAAACAAAAAACTTTTTTTAATATTATTAATAACAATGAACATACATTCTAATTCAGCATCAGATAATTAAAACTAGACAAATGGTATATATTTATCAATTTATGTTTATTAAAAAAGAAATTAGAATAAATAAATTGAAATCAATATTATTGAAAATAATAAATAATTATTAATAATAGTAACAAAGAATATAATTATAATAGGGCAGGAGTTTAAATCTTATATTTAAATGTAATGAAATTAAAGTTATTAGAATTAATTCAAAATTATGTAGCAAACTAAATTTAGAAATGGCGTAGAACAGTTAAAGATAATTCCCTATTTAATGCTTAGCGTTCGCCAGTTTCATATGCCTTACGCTTGCATGTTTGTGTAAGTTTAATTGTATATCAAATTCACAAAGAAAAAAGAAAAATTGTAATTAATTAAAAATTAGGCAGGGAACTGAATTGAGAAATGGCAGAGAACGGCAGAGGAGACGGCCGCTTGCGGCCGTCGACTGCGCTAGTTTGCGATAAAGAACAATAAAATAGCTTTAATAGTTTTCAAGATACCCAGGCAGAAAAGTTGGAGGTGTGCCAGCACTAACGACCGACATGGTACCGAACCGGTTGTAAAGTCGGACTTATGCCGGTACCGGCAAAAAGGTACCGGGCCGGATATGAAATAAATACCGGCCCAGTACCGGCCCGGCGGTAAATGTGGATTTGTACCGGTACTGGTAGTGTGTACCGGGCCGGTTGATAAAAAATATCTGGCCCAGCACCGGCCCGGTACTATAATTTACTTTTGTTTTTATACCGCCGAAGGAGATTTGCCGGTGATAATATATTTACCGTCCCAGCACCGGCCCGGTACTGTCATTTCGCTCTGTTTTATACCGCCGGAGGAGATTTGCCGGTGATAATATTTTTACCGGCCCAGCACCGGCGTAGCACCAGCCCGGTACTGTCATTTCGCTCTGTTTTATACCGCCGAAGGAGATTTGCCGGTGATAATATATTTACCGGCCCAGCACCGGCGTAGCACCGGCCCAGTACTGTCATTTCGCTCTGTTTTATACCGCCGAAGGAGATTTGCCGGTGATAATATATTTACCGGCCCAGCACCGGCGCGGTACTATAATTTAGTTCTGTTTTTATACCGCCAAAGAAGATTTGCCGGTGATAATATTTCTACCGGCCCAGCACCGGACCGGTACTACCATTTGGTTTTGTTGTTATACTGATGAAGGGGATTTGCCGGTGATAATAATATTTGTACCGTCCCAGCGCCGGCCCGGTACTACTATTTGGTTTTGTTTTTATACGGACGAAGGAGATTTGCCGGTGATAATATTTGTACCGGCCCAGCACCCGCCCAGCACAAAAATTTACTTAATACTTTCTACTGGCACAGAAGTTTTGCCGACAAAAATATTATTACTGGCCCAGTGTCGTCCCGGTTGTTTGCTAATGTTAAACTAGCAGAAAAAGAATTAAAGAAGAGGAAAAAACATTCAAAAATTAATTTAATAATTTAATTATTAATAATAAATTAATTAGTTAGTTAGTTATGCCGGCAATTTATATTAATACCGAGTAGGTTGCTTATTGGTGCCGGCCCGGTATTTAGTCGGTGAATAGGGCGGTTATTATTATTTATAATTACTATTTTTATTTATTTATTTTTAATGATTTAAATTGAATTAAAATGAATTAGAAAATACAAATACTGGCCCGGTACCGCACCGGTTGAATATTAGTGCCGGCCCGGTACTGCTGCCAGGTGGAATGTCGGTTGGACTTTATAAGCTCACTTTGCATTTACTTTCCATATGCAGGTTTAGGTTAGCAGATGTGGTGTCGACTTTGCAGCCTCAGGGTCCTGAGTTCAATTCCTCGAGTCTTCAGATTTTTCTATAATTGTTTATGTTTCTCTGTTTCAGCATTAAATATATTGACTGTTTCCAATTTAAAATTAATAATAACATTGATAATAATAATAATTAAACAATTAATCAGACTGAAATGTAATTTTTTTAACCGGCCCGGTACCACACCGGTTGTTTTTTTAGTGCCGGCCCGGTACTGTGTCAGATATTCATTAGTGCTGGCCTGGTACGGTTGCCGGATACCTACCGAAGTTATCATCCGGCAATTTACCGGTACTGCGCCGGTGGAATGAACAGACTTATGCCGGTACTGGACCAGTACCTAGCCGGTTGTGCAGCCGGTAATAAACCGGCACTAAATGCCTTCCAACAATAACCGGGCCAGTACCGCCCCGGTGGACAATTCGGTACCGGCCCGGTACGTATGCCGGATACCTGCCGCAGTTATCATCCGGCAATTTGCCGGTACCGAGACGGTAAAAATTACGGTCTTATGCCGGTACCGCCCCGGCACTTATAATCCGCCGTTTGTACCGGGCCGGTACCATCCCGGTCGTCAATTTCTACCTGGGTACAGTCTCTCAAAGTTGACCCTTTTTGAGGTTAAATTGCAAAAACTGTGTTCTTTGCAAATAACTTTAAGTTTTTGCTATGTTTTAAATCTAGACAAACACAAACGTTATTAAACGATTATTATGTTCATGAAAAACATGTAAATAAACTCAATTACGAAAAATTAAAAAAAGTTTTTGCAATTTAATCTCAAAAAGGGTCAACTTTGATAGACTGTATCTTG